AGGGCACTTGGCTTTGTTTGGTTCCCCATCAACAACCCCAGCCAATTAGCCAAGCAGCCAAACTGGGGGCCGGAGAACAGAAGAAGCAACGTAGCCGAAGCAAGGCGTTTGTTTGTTGATCAGGTGTGACGGCGCAACGACACTGGCTGAAAGCTGATAGCAATGCCGCTGTTATTAATTACAGGCGAGCAGCAGCGGCGTTTCCAGAAACGATACAGCACAGCCAGGCCGGGGCAAGCAGCCAGCAAACCGACAATCATAACAGTAACAGCCACGGTAACATGGTAGACTGGCAGACAGTAAGATGAGTCACGGAGACATGCAGAGCGACCGAAGATGAACGGCGGCGTGTCGGCGTCAGGTCAGTCCTAGACGGTCGCGACGCGGGCCGGCAAGTTGCCCTCTTTGGTTCTTGAACCAGCTACAGCGCAACCCTATGGTGTGTTGCTTGGCCTTAATTGATTGGTACAGAGAGCCCGGCAGAGGAGTCTATCGCTTGTTTCATCTGTCTGTCCAACGTAGTACGCGGCCACCAATGAGCCGCGCGCACTTGTCGTGTTCGAGGTGACCCCCCTGACATGAAGAGAGGACAAGCAAATGGGTAACGGGGGGAAAGGAAGCTGACGTGCGTTGGTCGAGGGTAGGTAATCTGATTCTTTTTGGGTGCTGAGCTGGCGGTTGGCGGCCCCTCTTCTCCAGCTGGTCCAGAGCCTCTCATTGGGTGCTGATTATACGACGCGGATCTTACTGGGATAAAAGGGGAGGCAATAGGCAAGGGAGAAGCGAATAAGGCGGGCTGATGATGGAGGAAGGGTGGGGTACGTATCTTGTGCTGCATACTAGTATATACGTACCACAGTGTTGCCTCTACGTACCAGTAAGTAGTATGTAGGCGGCACCGCCTGGATAGGCATGCGTAGCGGCGTTGGCCAGTCAGGGTGTCAGAAGCAACTCTTGCGACGAGCCATCAGCAACCAACCAGCTGACGATGCTCTTGACCCCGATGAGAAAAAATAGCAGCCGGACTTTGAATGGCTAGGACTGGGCCTCGACGGTTTCCTTCTGCAAGTCTTGTCGCTCGCTTGGATGGAGGAATTGCTCCAATTTTTGTTGTGTTTGTTTTGGAAGACATGGACCCTTGTTTGTGGGAGCGTGTCTTGGTGTTTCTGCAACCACTGGCTGAGCTGCTATGAGGCGAGTCCTGGCGTGCAGCGGGAAACGGAGTTACGGGGGCTACGGAGGCCTGACGGAGCGGCGATGGCCAGTCAACGGGCTTCGTGAGACACTGAATGAAGTTGGGCCCCTGGGCAGATGCAAAGACCTTTTTTGGTCATCGCCATGCCTACGCACACCCGACATGAATGTGTATGTGTATTCATCTGTTTCTGTAACCTTGATTTGGCCCTGGTCTTGGCCGCGGTCTTGCTTTGGGCTCGCAAAAGTAAATATATCCATCTCGCCTACGTGCAGCCGGCCAATCTGTTCCTGTTCCTCGGCGCCTCTTGTCGTATATTTCATCCCTGTGTCCTCCTCCCTATCGAGTCCCTGAGTTTTGTCTCTTATACGGGCCTTGATTCTCCCATACCAAATCACCTGCATCATCGAAAGGAGATAAAAAAAAAAAACCGCCATTCGAGGGTTGTTGTATTGAATACGACAACTGGCTTTCTTTCCGCCCTTTACTAGCAAGGAGAAGGCCTAGATACCGAGTCCAAGTACCTCCGCGTCTTTTCCAGCCGAGACCCCCCCCCCCCGGGAAGATTCACTTGCATCAACAACAGCTGGTCTGGTAATACGAAGCGAATCTATTCAACATTCATTTTTCCTAGACTTGGCCCTATTGTCTACTATTCTTTTTTCCAAGACTCCTGGTCTTGTGTCTTTTTTTTTTTTCCAACACTCCTCAACCAGTTCCCTTCCCTTGGATAATTCTTATCTCCTGACGTCGGCACTATTGGACTTTTCGTTGCTCAGCATCCAACAATCATTCCAGCCGCTGGCCCTTTTTGCCCCACCCACAGCTCCTGCTACGTTCTCCGTAGCGCCTTCCTTCACCTGCGACTACTCCAACAAAGTCGTTCCTGCTGTGCGAGTGCGTGAAGACTGCACATTCTTGATACCCCCCCTCAGAGACACTTTCCTCTCCTAAACCGCCAAAAAAAAAAAAAAAAAAAAGAACGGGATCAATCTTTATTGGATTTCCAACAAATCCTCACCGCCCCTGGGAGCATCTTCAGTCAGATTTACATTCAGTCCGCCCACGCGAGTCTGAATTTAAAAAGCAGCAGCCAGCCTGCGACATCTGATCATTGCTATTACCATCGGCGTATCGGCATCGGCACCACACATCGCTAGGCATTCTCAATCAGGCTTCTCGTTTCTTTAGTGCTTGCGGTGCGTGAATCCATCCCGCCCGAGGCGCATCACATACGGATACACACACTTGCCCGTATTACTCGGCTCCCATCATACCTAAATTTTTCGATATTATCGTCTTATGCGTCTTATGCGTGTGCATTAGATCGGCCGTCAATTCATATCGATATTCGGATTGACAATTTACCTCGTGTTCAATTCCGCCTTCGATTCTGCCCGAAAGCCTCGACCCTTCAATAAGCAGAGAGCGTCTTCCGTCACCATCCAGTTAAAATCGTTCGCGACCTGGACTACCCTGTTTCCGGCTTCCTCATTCGCAGAAAACAGCCTGCACCGCCTCGTCTGCCAAACTGCCCAGACTCTGCAGCTCCGTCTGCCAAGTACCGGATACCCTGTCCCTCGGGCATTTTTGGTCTGAAGTCTCCGTACCCCATACAGACAGAGATAGAGACCCAACACTCACTCACTATTACCTACCGCCGGTGCCATCTTTCCCCATTCTCGTTGAGGTCAGGGAACTGCGGCTTCACTTGGGCAAAGTGCATTACCAGTCACCTTGTTCTCACGGTTCACTCTGTGCCCATTTCCAACAGACATTGTTGAACCTTGCTGCTGTCAACGCCCTTGGTCATTTCTCCTCAGTCTTGTCACCCACTCGAGCTAAGCTCCTGTTGCATCGAGAAAGATCCCAGCTAGGTCCATCCCTTCAAGCCACGGATAATCGACGCCTGAACAATACCTTAGTGGAGGCTATTCTTTCCATTTACCAGCGACAAGATCCTGCTGGACAAACTCTCCATCCAATCTGCCTCCAACGTCCGAATCGAGACTGACCATCATTTCCCCGTCTTCGACACTGCTTCACGTTTCCGGACCTCGGACCCCGGCCGAACAAAGCCCAGTCAGCACAGCATATTCAATCTGCTGCTGACTTACACCACTCTCGCCCCGCGGACCCGAGAGCAATTAATTAACAATCGACACTCGTCTAACGTCGCTCGCTGGCTCGACAGTACCTGAATACGACTGCTTTGTGTCTAATTACCATTCCTTATTGTGATCCCTGCATCCATCCCGCTCTGCCGCTTTGCCGCACCGGAGCATCTAATTCATCCCACCTCATCCGCCCACCAAAACTTCAATCAATCAATCCGGACCCAACTCAAAATTGCACCCAGGCGGCTCAATCTGTCCTTGACGGCTTGACGCATCAAATCCATTCGATTAATTATCACATCGCGGTCGTGGCTCTTACTCCAAAACCCAAACCAAGATTCCCCCCGCCCCTGACTCGCCCCAGCGTTTTACGTGACGCCTTTAACTCTTCAACCGCAACTTCAGCGACCACTTGGCAGTCCTGACTCGGATATCTCGTCCGTTTGCAGACATTCAAAACTCAACCTCCTATCCTCCATTCGTCTACTTGGCTTTGGAAACCTTCTAGAAACCCGGTACTTTCTCCGCGTTGGCTTGCCATTGTCATCAATTACAACAATCGCGCACCCGTCTAGAGGCCGTCGCCGACCACCTCTGCTTCCAGTTTTGAGAACGACAAACTCCGACTGACGCCTCGCCGCCATTCTCCACGCTGCCATCGTCGTTTGGCGTTGGCTACATCTCGGTTTCGCAAAACTTCCAGAAAGTTGCCACTGGTCCCCCAAAAGACTCTCCACGGCATTTTCCATCACCAGTGCATACACAACAGTACAACAGCTGGGCTGTTTGTTCTATCCTGCCACTTACTCGTCAACCGCCGAAACGCTTCACTTTGTGTTCCGCAACGCAGCGAATCTGGGCATCGAACCCCTACGGCTTTGCATTCCTGCAAGAGTCACAATAATCGACAGGCCGTAACAGCCATAATATCGATTCAATCTGGGGCAGCACCTGAACTTTGAAAGTTGCGCCACACTCCACTTTCTCAAGAGGTTAATACAGCGCCTTTAACCTGCTGCACCAGCACCGACGCTGCATCCCGCAAAAAAATCCAGACCCCTGCCGGCCAGTCCGCCCCCCTGCGATTTCGCTCGGTCTCCAAGGGTGCTACCAGCACACCCTCTCGGCCATATCTCACACACCCCTTCCTCCACAAAACCAACCCCCTTGTCCGCCGTACCCAAGCACGCCCTCCCCCCCTTGCACGCCTCCCACACCCCCTGCACCCCTGGGATCTACAGCATTCCAGCCCACCCCAAGCATCCCAAGCCCCAGCAGGCACTTCCGCCGGCGTCCTGCTGAGACCCCCTAAAAATCTTCCCCCTACTACCACTAGCACTGACTAGTACCCCCCTGACAAGCCTGTCCACTCAGCCTCGTGGACCGCACGTCACCTACTGACGACTTGCTGCCCGCATCCCTCACATCCAGGTCCACCCTTGAGCCTGGCCCCGTCAGTTGCGAGGAGGCACATGAACTTCGCCGCACACCACCCGTACCCTCCTTTTCGTCTAATATATCAGCCCAGCCTGCCCTTCTCTGATTCTTCTTACTCCTCCTTGTCTCGTCACTCTTCACGACTTCACACATCAACAAAAGGGACGCTTCCTTCACCATAGGACCCCTACAGTATACACGACACTATCAACCAACCACCTCTACCCCATACACACAGACACATACACATCATGGAGTCAAGGTCACACCTCACCAAGGCAGAGCTCAACGCTGCTGCCCTCGACCACTTCGTCTATCAACCCGTCAGCAAGTCGATGATCTCTTACTTGGCCGGCGCTGCCTTCAACGTCATCTCCTGTGACAGTTCCCTGATGCCCCCGGCATCCGCAGAGGCCTACCGCCAACAACAACTCCCCCCGACGCCACCAAGGACACCGGAACCCCGCGCTGTCCGCACCGAGGATTCCGATCTGCCTACCCTCGAGGCCTTCATTACACAACTTGTTGTTTCCTCAAACGTCCAAGTCCCCACTCTGATGTCGACTCTTGTCTACCTCACTAGACTCAAGTCCCGTCTGCAACCAATGGCCCGCGGTCTTCGATGCACCACTCACCGTATCTTTCTGGCTGCTCTCATCCTCACTGCCAAGTACCTCAATGACAGCTCACCCAAGAACAAGCACTGGGCTACTTACAGCCACATCAACAATGATCTCTCCAACTTTGGCTTCAGCAGGACAGAGGTCAACCTGATGGAGAAGCAGCTCCTGTTCCTTTTGGACTGGGATTTGAGGATCACTGAGGAGGATCTCTACCGCGAGCTTGACCCGTTCCTGGCTCCTATCCGTGCTGAGATTGAGGCCAAGCATGCTCGTCGCCTGGCCCGCCGCCGCAAGCACGAGGAGGAGATGCGTCGGAGACAGGAGGAAATTTACAACATGCAGCAACAGAGTTACCCGAGCCCGCCGTCCTCGCGCGCTAGCTCCCGTTCACGACAGGACACTCCCGACCACGCTCGTACATACAGTGGTGCCTCCATCACGCCCCCCAGTCTTTGCTACAGCAGCAGCTATGGCAGCTCTATCAGCTCATACGCGCCGTCAATTGCATCTAGCCGTTCTCAGTCCCGCGCTACCACGCCGCTCGATAACCCCGCCGAAGAGCCGTACATGTACGTCCCCAACGGCAGTCTGTACGAGTCACCTGTCGAAGTGCACATCGAACAACCCGCGTCAACACTGCCCAAGCGAAAGCCTTTTCTTCCCTACGAGATCAGCACTGAAGATTTACGGGACATGCAAGATGGCACCAAGGCGAAAAGGGCACGCATGGGACGTGGCATGTGGGGCCGTGTCTTCGGTGGTGCCGTGACCGTGCGGTAGACTGATGCATCGCACAGATTTTCATTCATGTTGTAGTCTCGTTTTTTTTTTTCCCCCTCCTACATTTTTCTACGTTTGAGTCACTACCCAAAAAAGCATGGTGTTGGATTGTGTTATAGAGAGATCACGGGGGGACAGATTTGTTTTCTTTCCCGAGGGCGTTGGTAATGGAAAGGTACATGGAACTCGGACTGCGGACAGAGCATCCTCGGGGGCATTTGCATATATGGATACGGTGTTTAGGCGGACTCACGAACATTGAAATTTCTTCTCTTATTTTCTTTGTTGTCTTTTTCTTTGGCATCCTCGCATGGTAGAGGATCGCCCTGTGGGATTAGGATTGGGAGCTGCCGCAAAGTCGGTTCAGCAAGTATAGCGTAGCCAAGACACGCAAGGGCTCGTCTCTTCTCCCCATGAGTGAGAGAGAGATATCCCCAAATCGAAAGCACGGGCATCATTATGCCTGTTCCCAAACACTTTGCTTCCTTCTGTTCGCGCACTTTGTGATGGTCAATGTTGGTTTCGTGAACGGCATTTGAGATCCCGTTCCCCGCTTGCAGTGTCAGGTTCTAGAACGGTTGACCCTAGTGCACTTTGAGGATCTGATGCCTCGTGACGTTGAATGCAGCCGGTCGTGTGGGGGAAAGCGGAGTGGGTGAGGGGTTGCATTCAGCTCACATGCGAGACATGGCTACGACTGCAGCATGTCATTTAGACGATATGGTCCGCAGGCAGTTTTATCGTCTCGCGGAGCAAAAGCGATAAAGTCAAGAAGGAATCTATTAAAAATAAATACAGAGGGAAGAAGAGGAAAAGATAGGGGACCACGGAGAGGAAACGAGAGACAAAAGCCCCGCTGACGAGATTCCCGATGAATCCCCCTCACCAGTGTAATGCATTCAGTCCCCTTACCCTATGTTTTTCCCAAGAAGTCATCGATAACTTGGAACCGCATCATCGCAACCATGCAGAGTAATCGTCATTGTCTCCGGCCCAGAAGGGCGGCGGCGCTTCACGCCCACCCCACCCCCCCTTGTCTCTCTCTCTCTCCGCATGCCATGATTCGCATCCAACGTCTATCAGTGCAGATACATGAATCGGGTCCGCCGGGGAAGAGGGGCATTTTACAACCTTAACACATCATACCTTGCCGGGGTTCGACCAAGAGAAAAACCTACTGTAGACGGGAGAACCAAGGCAGACGTAGAAAAAGTCTGTAGGGCGCCTTGACTTGCCTTTGCTTTTTTTCTTGTACGTTCGATTTCGGGGGAAAAAAAATTAACAGCCCCGGGTTGTAGAGACCTGTCATGATGGCTCACAATTTGGGGGGGGGGATGGGGGGTGGCAGTGGTGGGTTCTGTCAGTTGAGGCGGAGCGCGGATGGACGACGCCTCGCTGACCCGTAGAGTGATTACGGCCATAAATAATCCTATCAGAGACATTCAATATCCAGATCCAGCCGTCTGTTGGGTTTTTAGCGGTTTATTTCTGTTTTGCATCCGTCCGTTGGGATCGGTTGGCAAGGAGGAAGGGGAAAAAAAGGCCCAGCCCTCCGGTCGCGCAAACGCCCGGATCGAACTTTTTTTTTTTTTTTTTTTTTTGGTGTATTTCAATACACCCTTCGGCCTGCCGAGACCACCGCGCCTTCTTGTTTGACATACGGGTTCTGGCTAGTGGCTTTTGCTTGGCTTTTGGGTACGGCGTTCGGCGTTTACCTTCCGCACTCGCCATTTAGACAGCGAGAGTAAAAGTATGTGTGTATGTTACGGGGGATTTCGGACAAGTTCTACGATGATGCTCCTACCAGCTGATGCCGGGGTTCAATGTGGCTGGCTGTAGAATACTCGGCCGGGGATTTTTTTTTTTTTTTTTTGGGTTGTCATCGCGATCAACCGGAATGCGGATCGTGACGTCGGAGGGGAGAGAGTGTGTCACCCCAGCCGGGGGGGGAATTTTCGGGAAATTTCCTTCCTCTCTCGTCTTCGCTATCTCTGCTTCAAACTTGTGTGGCTGACCGCCGTTGAATGGGAAACAGAGTTTCGAAACATGTCGGCCTCGCATAGCGTTTGGGCTGATGAGAGTTGTGGAATGCAGCAATATAGAACGCCCGACGGGGGGTTTTAGGGGTCCAAAGGGGTGACGTCGAGATAGGTTGTGGTTAGGTTTGCAATGTTTGAGGAGGGGAGGGGATGCAAAGGGCGGGGATCTGCTTGTAAGAAGCGGTACACGTAGGTATCTTGGGCATGCGGAAATGATCTACGCAGTGGTGGAGGTGGGGGGTGAGGGAGGGAAGAAGAGGAACTAGCTACACCGTCAGATAACCGGGAAAACAAGGCCGTGCAACGACACATACACATACACCTTCACACACAGCGTGCATCCTTGTGGCTGGTAAGGATGGTTATCGTAGGTAGCAACTGTGTTTGGGAAATGTCGGTCAATGATCAGAATGACCGGAGCCTAGGACGGGGAGGAGGAGGGTGTGCATGTTGGGTATCGAACTACGCTGCCAGGCATGTGTGGTTCGCGAAGGATGTGGCTGGGCCATCAGGAAGTATAGGATTTAGGCTCCGACCCCACGCTGGATCGTAGCTTGCGCATGGTGCCATGCTGGGAATCGACATCCAAATAAGTGAGTGCATTGTTGTTGTTGTTTGTCGTCGTGTGCCGCGTCCGAGTGCGAGGGAGTGTTGACAAGCGGTCGTGATCATTGAGACCCGGTCTGACAACGTGTTCGTGAATGGCAGGGTCGCCCGCCTCATGTTGGCCTGGACGGAGCCTTGGTGGCCGGCGGTCGGGTCCCGGGGGTGGGTCTGGTGGCCGGCACGGGGGTTGGGAGGGGGGTGAGTCACAGGGTCGGGGGAGCAGCCCAGTTCGTGGTTTATTGGGGCGGTCGGATGCTGCGGTTGTGCTCCCCTGCCATCTGCCCAGTCATCAGTGATAACGGAACCCCACTGAAGTCGCCCAGTGAAAGTGCACAAGACGTTCTCGCTTCGAGTTAGCTTAAAGTCCGTGTGGCCTGTCGCGTTGAAGGGCACTAAAGGCATTCTGCATTGCTGCCATTGGCATTAGGCCAGGCCGGCCGGCTGTGGATACGGCCCGTGACAAAGTGCTTGGAGCCAAGGTCAAGTGACCTTGATACTGTCCGTTCGCCCACCGTCTGTCACGCTTGCGAGGCAAACCCGAGCGCTCCGGCTAGGCAAATTGATGAGCGATGGGTCTGCCAAGAGGGAAAGTGTCAATTGAATTTGGGTTGATTCGTTGTGGCTTGGACCAATCGTTCGTTACCCTCCGTTGAAATTTGAAGCGTTGCGAGTTACGTCTGATTGATTATTTCGAGGCATTGGCATCCCAGCGGACAATTGAGGGCCTGCTGCGCCATTCTCAGCCTCACCCCATCAACTACAGGCTGTTGAAGTCTACTCGCACTTTTGGGAGTAAACCTCGATTTCTTGGCGGGCGAAGTATAGGCGAACTCGTTTTCTGGCCATTCAGCATCATCCAGGTCTGCGATCCTGGGGTGGGGAGCTGGCGAGATCAACTCGGCTCAGCTCTGAAAGGCAAAAGAGCGTGTGACCGTAATGTAAGCGACGGCAATGATGATGAATTCTGAGTTCTTTCTTCCATACATGAGGCTGGGCATTCCACTCAAGCTTGTTCGGGACGCGGGCGATGCTCGATTAGGTAACGATGTTTGGTGATGTTAGTCGTAAGGTAAACAGCGCTCAGCCACAGCTGCGAATGTAAGTGCTGACAGGGTAGTCATCGGCATGACAGAACTGTCCGTAGTCACGCTGACGGGTGCACCTAACAACCCGATATCTGTCTACGAAGAGAAAACAGTCAAGCCAGAAACACAGAAGCCAATCGCTGCGCTCTCGAGCATGGCCTGAGTGGAAAGCCGCGTGTGTCCTTGTTGACACAGTCCAAGCGCCTGATCCGATATCAACATAGCCCGACTGTCGCTGTTGTCTGTTTGACGGTGCTACAAGAAACAATCCGAAGGTTGTGTTCCAGAATGTTCCCGAACCATGCCTTTCTTCGGGGAGCTCGCAGCGTGTCAGATGTTTGAGATTTGTTCGAGTTTGTGGTTGTCATGGCTTCCTGATAGGCAGCACGGCAGGATGCCGGTATTCTGTATAGATAACACAAGAGATATCAACTCTAGTGGCACCAGACACCTTTATTCTTGGACTTCTCCTTGGTCTGAACTTCCTGTACATTTACCGCTGACCTTTTTTTTTTTCCCCCGAAGGATAGCAATGGAGAAAGGGAGAACACATAACTTGACCGGCGAGAGAATTATGTCAACTTGGTGTTGAACAAGGTCATGATTCACCAACAAGCTATAAGTACTGCCAAACAGCCATAGATTGACACAGTATATCGAAAAGTACGTTTGTTCATGGTTTGCTGCTGAATATTCCGTATGTTTCCCAGTATTTGCCTTACCAAACATGCCGTCGACAGCCTTTCAGCGCGTGTACCATGAACACAAAAAGGCAGAGATCCCAAAACCCGCTGTTGTGAGGCTGCTTGTGTGGACATGGACCGGAAGAATGGCTTCAATCTAGGAAAGAAGGATCCCTACAATCCACGAGAATCGAGGAAATATAGTCGAAATGACCTGACCCAGAGATCTCGACGAATCTGTCAACGGAAATCGGCGGTGCGCTTAGAAATGCGACAGGCGCGTGGACCATGCTGCCACTAACGGCTAGCGCAATGTGGGGAGACGCTGTAGACGCTGCAGACGCCGACGGGTGGACTTGCCACTGCCAATGACAGCGGCGACTAGGTGGGCATCAGTTCGAATTGATTATCACATGAAGGTTCGACATCCAATTAAAAGGATAAAATGATGAGAAGATTCACGTTGATTCCAGACCCAAGCGTAGTGCTTTGGTGTATCAGCACGCCCCTTGAGGCACCTAAATGAAACCTGAACGGACCCATAAATGAGCAGATTACGTCACAGCCTGCGCTTTTTGTGCGGAAAGGACAGTCTGGATAACGATAACACTGTCTTTGACCACCTATTTATACAGTGCATAGACAGTACCGTAAGGAGGCAACTGCAGTTTCCTCGCAGTCAAAAATCTGCACCGCACAAAACGCGCACCTAAATAGGCAAGGGCAATCTGGACAGCATTGCAAAGCAACAGCACAATTACCGCGGAATGAAAAGTCAGATGGCCCAGAACGCGGAATGGTAGTAAATAAAATCATGGGTGCCCTACATACCCAAACTCAGATCTCTTTCCGTCACAACTTTTCCACACTGCTCGCCAAGTGATCCTGGGGTTTGACGCTCGCCTCTTTCCCCTTCGGCCACTGACAGCGCAGTGTGTGCCGATCTATTACAACTACATCCATAGACAGCATCGACCAGTACGACAACACCCTTCTCCCCTTTTCGGACACTCCTTTCCCTTCCGCTCTAGGTTGCCTCCTTTTATTCATAAAGCTGCTTGGATATCTCGCTTACACGACTGCGTTGCCACCCATTTTTTTTTTTTTGGGCCTAACTTTGGCAACCTACGCAGGGGGAGTCGCAAAAAGGCCAGCTTGGAAAATAGGCGGCAAACGAGTTCAAAGGGCAGACGGCTATAGTGGCAATGGAAACAGCCATGGGTCCCCGCATCACCACATCGTTTCTTCTTGACAACCTTCACTGTCCATCATGTGTCTCTTCCATTCAACAGGCTCTACAAGAGTCCTGCAGCCACGATGTGATCTGGGTGTCACCCAACGTTGTCACTTCAGTGGTCACCATTGAACACAGACACACTGAGACCCCCGACATCACCATTCGTTGCATGGCCAAGGCTCTACAAGATGCTGGCTTCGAAATCAGCGGTGTCACGACAACGGCTGCTACCGGCACTGATTTGGATGCCGTGGCCTTGAGACATGGCGCCCCCGATGTTGTTAACGACTCTTTGGCGCCCAAGTGGTTGTCCAGTGAATCACCTGCTCAGCGTGAGGCTCACCTTTTGAACTGCAAACAGTGCCGGGAGTCCAAAAACCCCAGTCCCAATGGATCCTGTTGTTCCACAATACGTGAACCCATGTCAAACGGCATCGGCAGTAGCAGCGGCAACCGTCTGCGCAAAGAGACGGGAACGGGAATGACACCAGAAAGCTCCAAGTGGAGGGCAACCCTATCCATCGGAGGAATGACCTGTGCCTCTTGTGTCAACGCAATCACCGAGGAGTTGAACAAGAAGGACTGGATCGAGCACGCAACGGTCAACTTGGTCACCAACAGCGCGACTGTTGACTTTGCCGACAAGGCTAACGCAGAGAAGATTGCGGAAGCCATCGAAGATATGGGCTACGACGCCAACCTCGACAATATCACGGATGTCGGAAATGAAGAGACAGAAGGTACCGACCCCGGCTTGTGGAGGGCCGCTTTAGCTATTGGAGGCATGACATGCGCCTCATGCGCCAACGCCATCACCGAACAACTGACAAAGAAGGACTGGATTTCCAATGTGGTCGTGAATTTGGTAACAAATAGCGCTACCGTTGACTTCACAACTGAGGGCAAACAAGACAAGATCGTCGAGGCAATCGAGGAAATGGGCTACGACGCAACCTTGGACAGCGTTGTGAGCGTCAAGTCTGAGGAAAAGGGTGCCCAGCAGCGGACGGTTCAAATCTCGATTCGGGGCCTTTACTGTAAACACTGTCCTGGTCGAGTCTCACATTCCCTTGGATCTTTTCAGGGTGTGAAGGTTGTTTCAGAACCTAGTCCCGAGAAGCCCATCGTCACTGTCAAATACATACCCGATGCGCCTTCCTTGACAATTCGGCATATCCTGTCAGCTATTGAAGCGGCTGATCCTGCGTTTGAGGCGTCGATATACCACCCACCCAGCCTTGAAGAGCGTTCCAAGATCATCACCCAAAAGCATCAGAAACAACTTCTAAGAAGAATTTACTTGACGCTCTTGGTTACCATCCCAACTTTCGTTATTGGTATTGTCTATATGAGCCTGATTCCCGACACGAACCATGGAAAGCACTACCTGATGGACCCCTGGGTCTCAGGTATCAATCGAGCACAAATCGCCCTCTTCGTTCTTGCAACACCAGTTTACTTCTTTGGCGCCGACGTTTTCCACACCAGAGCGATGAAGGAGATCCGAAACTTGTGGCGCCCGGGCAGTAAGACACCTATACTCCGACGCTTCTACAAGTTCGGAAGCATGAATATGCTCATGTCACTTGGCACAACCATCGCCTACGTCTCATCCATTGGGCAAATGATTTCTGCTGCCATAAGCAAGCCGGCAGTGATTGACGACACTCACTTTTACTTTGACTCGGTTGTGTTTTTGACACTGTTCCTGCTCCTCGGCCGCCTTATTGAGTCATACAGCAAGTCCAAAACCGGAGACGCGGTTGAGATGTTGGGTAAATTACGGCCTACGACTGCCATACTTGTCAACAAGGACGCTATTGGAAAGACTACGGATTCAGTCGTCGGAGTTGATATGCTTGATTATGGCGACATTATCCGGGTACCACATGGTGCTTCTCCTGCCGCCGATGGTGTTGTCGTGCAGGGCGAGAGTAGCTTCGACGAGTCCAGCTTGACCGGTGAATCTCGTCTTATCAAGAAGGTTCCTGGTGACGAGGTTCATGCAGGAACTGTCAATAAAGATTCCGCCATCCAGGTACGCATCACAGGTGCTGCAGGCGCTTCAATGCTTGATCGAATTGTTTCCATCGTCAGAGAAGGCCAAACTAAAAGGGCACCGATGGAACGCATTGCGGACATGCTGACAGCTTATTTCGTCCCCATCATCACTCTTATTGCGGTATTGACATGGCTTACCTGGATGACTCTTGGCTATGCCGGTGTAATTCCTGGACGTTATCTCGATTCGGGAAGCGGCTGGGCTACCTTTGCTTTGCAGTTCGCCATTTCTGTCTTCGTTGTTGCTTGTCCTTGCGGTCTGGCTTTGGCAGCGCCGACCGCCATATTTGTTGGTGGCGGCCTTGCGGCCAAGCACGGCATCTTGGCGAAAGGAGGTGGAGAGGCGTTTGAAAAAGCAAGCAACGTCGATGTAGTCGTTTTCGACAAAACCGGCACGTTGACTGTTGGCGGCGAACCAAAGGTAACCGATGCCAAGCTATTCCTTCAAACGGCAGATGCGAACACGCAAAGCAGCATGGTGTGGGCCACCTTGCGGGCAATTGAAGAGAACAGCAGCCACCCGGTAGCCAAGGCAATTGTAGCATATTGCACAGCACAGACTGAGGTCTGGGTTCAGGTGGACAACGCTCAGGAGCTACCTGGCAAAGGCATGAAAGCAACAAACCGTGGCGAAAAACCGGAGGATTCATTTGATATGATTGTTGGAAACGAGTCACTCATGCGTGATTATCAAGTTCAGTTCGCCGAGGAGGTGTCTTCTCAACTCCAAATATGGAAAACCGAGGCCAAGTCGGTCGCTCTTGTAGCCACCAGGCAAACGACGGCTGATTCTGATGCACCGTGGACACTTACGGCGGCACTCTCCATTTCTGATCCCATTCGACCAGAAGCAGTTCCCATCATCAAAGCCCTTCGGGAGCGTGGAACTCGTGTCTGGATGCTCTCGGGCGACAACGTTGTCACTGCCAAGGCAGTGGCATCGCGTGTTGGTATCAACCCCGACAATGTCCTAGCCGAGGTACTCCCTTGGGAGAAGGCAGAAAAGATTACATATCTCCAAACCGTGCTGAAGGCGCGTGTCGGTAAGTTGAGGGAGCATTCGACAAGACGGGCCATGGTTGCCATGGTCGGAGATGGCATCAACGACTCTCCTGCCTTAACCAAGGCAGACGTCGGAATCGCTATTGGCAGCGGTAGCGACGTCGCAATCTCGAGTGCCGATTTCGTGCTCGTGACGAGCGACCTCCGTGCCGTTGTGACCCTCCTGGACCTGAGCAAGACAGTATTCCGCCGGATCAAGGTAAACTTTGGCTGGGCTGTTGTCTATAATCTTCTCGCTATTCCTATCGCCGCGGGTTGTCTGTATCCTATTACTACAGCAGCAGGGGAACATATTCGTCTCGATCCGGTTTGGGCCAGTTTGGCAATGGCCCTGAGCAGCATCAGTGTTGTTTTGAGCTCTCTTGCACTACGCACGAAAGTACCAGGACTTGGTTTCCGTCCTCGTGGACTCCGACATCCTTGATCATTTTTTTTTCCCTTTGTTTTTCTTCTTTTTGGTTATTCCCCATCACTGGGCGTGTATTATTGTATTACAGAGCGAAGACTATGGGAACCCAAAGAGGCTAGGATATTTGGGGGATTTGGCGTTGCTCGTGATTTAGATGAGAGGCTTTGAGGAATAAAGCGTATGCAAGCTACGGTGCGCGATGCATTGCGACGACCAATGAGTTGTCAGCGATACAGAAGAAAAGGCTAGTTCCAGAGACTGGAAACAAAAAATAATAGCAGAATTAATGATTCCCTGCCAAAGTGAGCCAGCTCAGTGAGAATGGTTGGAAGATGTGCAGTCTTGCAGGTTACATTTACATTAAAAACCGAGTTACTGACTGAGCGATAATCAGCCCTAGTGCCTACATCTGTTCTATTGGAACCAGCTGATAAGGGCCGTTGAATATAGCAAAAATGTATGCGTATGATTTGTATGTTCCGCATGTCACTATGTAAAACGAATTGGCGTCATGTTGTTAGGTGGCAGTGAAATCATACTGGGGCGGGTGGTGATACGGCAGCCGATGCCGACACCGAGCGGATACCGCACCGAGAGCCGTCCGGGGAACCGATAGCCTGGGGATGAGAGGGACCGGCATTGAAAAGACCGGACGAGATTGCCACCGAGGAAGCAGAATCTGGGGCAAAGACAGCCTTTGAGGCTTGCAATTCCGGAAGATGGAGCGATCTGGTCGAGCACGCAATTGAAGGCGAGTCGCGGATTTGGTAATGCTGCTGTCGGGCCAAGGGTCCTTGAGTGGATCCAAAATGGTGCAATGTGGGGCCGGAGCACATGCAATCGGCATCTTCATTGGCGCGCGATGGCGCAATTGTCCCCTAGTCGCAATTCTGCGAGCTTCAACAATTTCCAAACGCCGAGTTTCGCACGCAAACACTGAGGGAAACCGCCCCCCGAGGAAAAAAAGATGGACGCCAACGAACAGCAACAGCGCATGAGTATGGCTGGGGCTTTTTGGACCGGGTCTAACGTCCCTGTGCTCGGTGGCAGGAGTTGCTAGGTAATCTACGGCTATGCACTGGTAAGGTAAGGCCGGCTATGACAAGTCCCCTTGTCTACTACTTTTTTTTTTATATGCTTCGGATCCTGCTCGGAGTCTTTCAACCTCTGGTTGATACCTTTCATCCTTCACTCACCCTTTTCCCTTTTTTCCCTAACGATCCCAAGATCTTCCCAGAACGAATACTCTCTCGTTCGGGTAGACGCAAGTTAGTTTGCTTGCTTCTTGGTGAATCAATTGCTCAGTAGCGACCATTCTCTTGCGAGTGGTGAGGCTTCTACTTCTGGTCCTTCGACTATATTGGATCGTTTTTAATCGCATCTTTTTTGCTGTATTTATTCCAAAGTTTCTCTCTCGAAACCCCCTGAGAATGCAGTTTAAGCAACAAGAGAGCAGCGGCTCTGCTGCCGTGCTCGACGCGAAGTCGCCTGCTCCCGCCGCCCCCGTCAAGAGGGTCTCTTCCACCCTTCCTTTCGGCCAGCCCGTCGCCCTCTCCTCCATCTCCGGACCGACCTACGTTACGGCTCAGCTGCTCGTTCAGCAGGTCTCCTACCTTCTGTCCGACAAGATCTTCTCTTACTCCGCACCGACTTTCGACCTTGATGTTGCTGCCAAGGCCTGGGCTGAGGCCAAGGAGGAGAACATTCACGGCGAGACCACCGACCTTGTCCAGTTGCAGACCAGGACCGGCGCCGGCGCCCTCGCTCTGGGTTACATCTTCAGCCCCGATTTCGACCTGGCCAAGAGACACCTGCCCCAGACCCTGCTCGCCCCTACTCTGAGCTTGAGGAATCTCCGTGCTGCTCTCGACCAGCTCAGTCTACTTTACGGTGTCGCATCTCCCTTCGTTGCCCACGTCGCGGCTCTGGACTACGATGCCACGAACGGCCTGGTTTCCGACTATGACACTGCTCTGCGCACCGCCGAGGAGCTTGGCCTTGGCCTGGTTTCCAGCTCTAGCGCCTATGAGACCCAGCACATGGCTCTCTTCGCTACCCTTATGGCCGCTCTGATGCCCACTCTTCACATCTACGACGGCGTTAGACTCGCCCGCGAGACCTCCCGCGTTGTTGATGCCCTGAGCCGCAGCGGCATTGCTGACCTGTACAACAACATCACCTCCGAGTCCACTGGTGTTAGTGAGAGAGCCGCCATCTCCTCAAAGGTTGCTGACCTTCTGGATGTGTTCAACAAGCACCTCGACCCCACCGAGGACCACGAGAGCCAGCACACTGCTCTCCTGGCTACTCTCATGACTGCTCTTACTCCTACCCTGGGTGTTGAGGACGGTGTCAAGCTCGCAAAGAAGACCCTGAAGGCCTCCGATGCCCTGAACAAGAAGGGTGTTGCCGAGACCTACCAGAAGATTTCTAGCGAGGTTCAGTCTCTGAACAAGAGGCTGGATGACGCCGGCAAGGTTGTTGAGCTTCTGAAGCTCTTCAACAACGAGCTCGGCACCGCCTATGACCTCTTCGAGTACCACGGACACGAGGCTGCCGAGGCTGTCCTTGTTGTCTTTGGCAGCGCCGAGGCCCAACTGGCCAAGCAGGTCGTTACTCGTCTGGCCGCTGATGGTGTCAAGGTTGGCGCCATCAACGTCCGCGTCTACCGCCCCTTCGTCGAGGAAGCTTTCTTGGCTACTATCCCTGACTCTGCTCGTACGATCTCCGTCTTGGGTCAGGTCAAGGACGAAATCGCCGTCAACGACGCTTCTCTGCAGTCCGCTCTTTACACTGACGTTCTGACTGCCGTTTCTTTCTCCAGCAAGTGGCGCCAGGACCCCACCGTCTCCGATGTCAAGTACTCTGCCTCGGAGGCTTTAACCCCCCAGACCGTCGCCGATATCTTTGGCAAGCTTGTCAACAGCGAGGCCGAGTCCAAGCCGTTCCCCTCCTTGGTTCAGGCGCACCAGTACACCTTCTGGGACGTCGACAACTCTGCCGCCGTTGACTCTCCCGCTGTTATCAGCAACCTGCTCTCGCGTGAGTCCACCAGCAATGTCTATGTCCACGAGTCTTTCGACAACCTGCTCCAGGGTGGTATCGTTCGCACGGACATTCGCAGCTCCAAGAAGGCTGTCGAGGCTCCCTACGCCATTGAGGAGGCTGATGTGGTCGCTGTCGGTGAGGAGAAGCTGCTCCAGGACCTTGACATCCTCAAGAGTGTGAAGGCTGGCGGCAAGCTCCTTCTTCAACTCCCCAACTTCAAGGAGGAAGACGTCGAGAAGCGTCTCTCCCCCGTTGTGCGCAAGCAGATCCAGGACAAGGCCATTGAGCTCCACGTCCTTGACGTTGCTGCCTCTCCCGCCTTCGAGAAGGATCCCCAGGTTGTCAAGTTCCTGTTCGAGCTTGCCTTCCTCCAGATCGCTCGTCCCGATATCACTGCCGAGAATATTGCCAAGATCTCCCTCATCGAGGGCTTCCCCAACACCCTCGCTGAGTGCGTCGATGCCCTTAGCCTTTGCCTGCGCAAGGTTGAGTCCCAGGCTGCCTGGGCTGAGCTCCCTGAGGATGTCGTTGTCAGCCCCCTCCCCGCTACTATCAAGCCCAACAGCTTTGTGGCTTTCGACAAGGAGGAGCCCGAGGAGGAGTCCAAGCTCGTTGACTGGCAGGCTGCCGCCAAGGGTCTTGTCTTCAAGGAGGCCTACGGTACCCAGGCTACCCTGCGCCCCGAGCTGCCCGTCAAGACCCACACCGTCACCGTCAAGGAGAACCGTCGTCTTACCCCCGACACGTACGACCGTAACATCTTCCACATCGAGTTCGACCTCGGTGACTCCGGTGTCACCTACAACATCGGTGAGGCTCTCGGTATTCACGCTGAGAACGACGACGATGAGGTTCGCGCATTCATTGAGTGGTACGGTCTCGACCCTGAGGCTCTCGTCCAGGTCGCCGCCCGTGAGGATTCGGCTGCTTTCGAGACCCGCACCGTCTATCAGTCCCTCAAGCAGAACATCGACGTACTTGGTAAGCCGCCCAAGCGCTTCTACGAAGCTCTTGCCGAGTTCGCGACCGACGAGAAGGAGAAGGAGATCCTTGCTGGTCTTGGCGGCCAGACTGGTGCTGAGGACTTCAAGAAGCGCACTGAGGTTGACACCCTCACCTACGTCGACATCTTGCAGGAGTTCCCCTCGGCCCGCCCGTCTTTCCACGACCTTGTCCGCATCATCTCCCCTCTCAAGCGTCGTGAGTACTCCATTGCCTCCGCCCAAGCCGTTACCCCCAACTCCGTCGCTCTCATGATCGTCGTCGTCGACTGGGTCGACCCCAGAGGCCGTACCCGTTACGGTCACGCGACCCGCTACCTCTCCCGTCTCCCAGTCGGCGCTGAAGTCACCGTGTCCGTCAAGCCCTCCGTTATGAAGCTGCCCACCTCTTCGAAGGCTCCTCTCATCATGGCCGGTCTTGGAACTGGTCTCGCCCCCTTCCGCGCCTTCATCCAGTACCGCGCCCTCCAGAAGGCCCGCGGCGAGGAGATCGGCTCCATCCTGCTGTACCTTGGATCCCGTCACCAGCGCGAGGAGTACCTGTACGGTGAGGAGTGGGAGGCTTACCTCGACGCTGGTGTCATTACCCACCTCGGCGCCGCCTTCTCGCGTGACCAGCCGCAGAAGATTTACATCCAGGACCGTATGCGCGAGTCCATGCGCGATCTCGTGCAGAGCTACATCCGCGACGAGGGTAGCTTCTATCTCTGCGGTCCTACCTGGCCCGTTCCCGACGTTACCGATGTGCTGATGGAGGCCATCAACACTGAGGCCAAGATGACCGGCAAAAAGGTCAATGCCCGCAACGAGATTGAGAAGCTGAAGGAGGAGGACCGCTACATCCTCGAGGTTTACTAAATTTGGTATCGCTTTTTGCATTGCATATATCATTGGATTTATCTCTGTACATATACTCATCTACGACCTGAGAAGCGTGTCGAAAAGTTTTATTGGGTTACTAGCAGCCACATGTTCAGAATGAAGAAGCATTTTCTCATGTTCACCTCCATTTTCCAACGTATGTAGTAGAGCGTCTCGCAGTGAATAAGCCGTCAATTGTACATTGCCAAGCTAAAAACCCATGCGTGCCCATCCAATCTCTGATCATGATTATTACATTCAATCCCCTTCGTTAAATCATCAACATCATTAGTGCGCCATGGCATTCTCGAACAGACTCCTGAGCTGCTCTCTCTCCTTCTGCAGCTCCGTCTCCAGGCCGGGTGCGAGCATGAGCACTCTGGCCTGAGGGATGGTGCCCTCGACGAGGTCATCGAGGTGCTCCGTACCGAAACCTAGCTCCCTGATACCGGCCGGCTGGTCGCCGAGGTCCGCGAGGAACTTGGTCAGGGCGTCGGCCAGCACGGCACCCGCATCCTCCTTGCGCACACGGGAGATGTCGACGCCAAAGGCCTCGGCGGCGGCGAGGTGGCGCTCCGGGTTGGAGGCGCCGGTGAAGCGGAAGACTGCGGGGGCGGTGACGGCGACCGAGACGCCGTGCGGGATGATGGGGTATTTCACATTGTAGCCTGCGTGCTGGTAGCCTGGGTTCTGGCCCGAGATGGGGTACGACATGCCTAGGTTTCGTTGGTCAGTTTGTATGCTTTGCAGGTTGGGAGAGAGAGGGGTTGTTGGGGCTTTGTCTTCTTTGGCATACCGTGGCAGAGATGGACGCCGGCGTTACCAAAACCGACACCGGCGAGCGTCGCGGCGAGGAGCATCTCGCTCTGGGCCTCGAAGTCGTCGGGGTCACGGACGGCACGGGGGAGGTACTTCACGGTCGCCCTCAGGGCGTGGAAGGAAAAGACGTCACTGATTGGGTTCGCGCCCTGGTATGCGGGACGGAGGATGGGGTTCTTGGGACGGGGCACGCGCTCGTTGAAGGGGATTGCCGTCCAGGATTCGAGGGAGTGGCAGAGGACGTCCAGACCCGAAGCCGCCTTGACGGCGGAGGGCATGGTGCGGGTGTTGAGCGGGTCGCAGATCCCGAGCGTGGGCTTGAGGTTCCTGTGCGCGACGCCCGTCTTGGCGCGCTTGGAGACCAGGTCGAAGATGGCGGTTCCCGTGGTCTCGGAGCCCGTTCCGGCGGTGGTGGGTACCGCGATCAGCGGCTTCAGAGGCTTGTCGACAGGTCTCCCCTTGCCGAGCGGCGCGTTGACGAAGTCGAGGAAGGGGGCATCGGGGTAGCAAGTGTACAGGTTCATCAGCTTAGCGGTGTCGATGACGGAACCGCCGCCGACGGCGAGGAACGCATCGGGCGCAAAAGGGCGAGCCCAGTCGATGGCGTCGCGGACGCTGCTGTCCTTGGGCTCGACGCGGGTCTTGTTGTAGACCTTGTAGTTGATGCCTTCGCGGTCTAGCGCCTCGCGGGCCTGCTGCATGGCGAAGAGCCCGTCGACGGTTTCATCGGTGACGACGGCGACGCGCTTGGCGCCCATGTTGGAGAAGTCCATGCCGACCTCCTGCGTGGAGCCGGGGCCGAAGCGGATCGAGGAGGCGGCCATCTCAAAGGCGTATTCCTTCTGGGGTCCATCTACGGGCGTTGCGAAGCCGCGGCTGCGGTTGCCCGTGCGGAGAGGCCGCGGGTTGAAGTGAAGAGGGTTGTGATGGTGGTGGTGATTGGGGTTGGTGTGGCATGGGCATGATGGCGGATGGGCTTGAATCGTCCTCAAAAGGGAGACAGCGCGGGTTGCGGCCTAGTAATTGTTGTGAGCCAAGGTGAGAGGAGAGTAGGAGGTTGGGACTTACGTTGGGGATGACCCGGAGTGAAGGCGTCATGGCGGGCGTAATAATTCGTACGTCTTGGATAGTTGCTGGTCTGTACGGCTTATACTAGATGGGAAGTATGTAAGACCGGATTGGATGGATTGCTCTCCTGTATGTGAGATATGAGATTGGCGGAAGAGAGATGAGGTGAAGCCTTGGTTCAAGTGAGGGAGGGAGCGATGTCGGGAATCACATCCCGCCGCTCCTCCGCACAGAGCTGTCCACATTAGTCTCCTTGGTAATGATGGTCGACTTCCCCGGGGTATTTGGAGGCGTTTCCCCGCATTCCGACTCCACTTCCCGGCCGAGACTGTGGGGTTTATTTGCCGAGGTACATAATATATATACCTAGCACACTGCCCGTTATCCCTCTCGCGAAAACCACGTCAACAAATTTCTGTACGAGTTGAAGTTGTATCAATACTCTATCTGTCAACGTTCTTGTCAAACATTGGTCGAATAAAAATCTTCCAGCATAAGTCGCTGAGAAATCCACACAAACGGACATGCATCATCACCCACGTAAGTGAAGTACGTAGTGCCGTCAGCACAGAGCTTCCCTGTAGGACCTGCCCGATAAAGCAAAAACCCACTAGGATAGAAACCCACGCAGCGTTCCAGGATTTCGCTCCATGGTCCAATTAACCAATGGATCATATTCATCCACTGGCCGGTGTGAGTCAATACGCCGCAGTGGATTATGCCACGAAGAGCCTTCATCCTCGACTACATACGTTTACGTGACCATGCTGACCATGTTGGGGGATGATATAAATGACTGCCTTTGCGCAACTAAACAACGGTTAAGTTATAGCATCGAGCTGTATTGCAAGGGGCCCTCTTGAAAAGCCAGTCTCCCCTCTTTACAAACGCTTCAGAATGGCCACTCAGTCGACTCCCCGCGGTCGCATCCGCGAAATCCTCCCAAACCTCCATCTCGGAACTTGGCCGACCGGTCCAAAAAATTCTCTTACCGATGTTCCTGGCGTTCTGGCCTCCACTCAGAGTATTCACGCCGACGAGGGCGTCAACACCGGCGTGACAGTTATTCTTCCTCATCAGAAGTGGTTCAGTGATGCTTGTTACGCTGGTATATTCCGTTTTAACGGCGCCGGAGAGCTGACGGGGTCTCACTGGATCGAAGAGACCGGCCTCTTGTCCAGCCCTATCGTGCTGACCAATACCTTTTCCGTTGGCGATGGGTATCGTGGGGTCTATGAGCACGCCATCCGCAACTACTCGAACGGCGAGGGTGTAGAGTGGTTCCTCTTGCCAGTGATTGGCGAGACGTTTGACGGCTACCTGAACAACATCTCCAAGCTGGCCGTCAAGCCTTCGGATGTGGCCAGGGGTATTGAGACCGCCACAGACGAACCTGTACCCGAGGGTAACACAGGTGGCGGCACAGGAATGATCTGTCACTACTTCAAGGGCGGCACGGGCTCCAGCAGCCGCGTGGTAGAAGGCCTCGACGGTGATGGGAACAGGAAGGATTATACTGTCGCTGCGCTTGTACAGGCCAACTATGGCAAGGCGCCGCACTTGCGCATTGGTGGTGTTCCCGTCGGCCGCATCCTCGAAAAGGAGAAGGCCGAGGCGCTTGCTGATGTTGCGAAGCACAAGGATAAGAAGGATGGATCCATCATTGTTATCATCGCAACTGACGCCCCTCTGACACCGGTTCAGTGTCAGAGACTCGCTAAGAGGGCAACTGTCGGGCTATCGAGGGTCGGTGGCTACGGCCATAATCCGTCCGGCGACATTTTCCTCGCATTTTCGACGGCCAACCATATTCCTGTTCAAACCATTAACAAGGATCAACGCGAAGTGGACCCATTCAAGGCGAAGGCCTTGAAGATCGAGGCTGTGGACGATACCAGTATCAACGGACTGTTCGAGGCTGCGGCGGATGCGACGGAGGAGAGCATTTACAACGCACTATCCTCAGCAGAGACTTTGACGGGTTTCTCTGGGCACAAGATTGAAGCGCTGCCTCTGGATCGACTTAGGGAGATTATGAAACAGTACGATCCGTAATTACCGTGTCTGTTTGAACTACCGATGCGTAGTTGCCAGTTGGCACAGGAATTAATGAAGGTTTATCAATGCAACGTCGCAAATGTTTCTGCCTTTTCTATAGCGTCCAAAACACACCCCTCGTCCATGTTGTATGAGCCGCTGCTTGCGCCCAGCTATCCTCCAAACCACGACCGAAGGACGTCCTGCTTCCAATACACTAACGCCCAACGCTCTTGCCTTTAGGTTCCTTGCCCTTGCCGACAACTCTGTCGTACAAATCCTGGGGCAGGGCCTGCTTCACCGCTTCTCGGATTAGGCATACGTCACGCATCAAGATCTCGTGATGTTCAGTAGCCAAGTGGTTTTCGGCGCGAAGTGCCATATCGACAGCCTCATCGGCCGCATCGTAGACCTTCATCAGAGTCGCCTTAAATTTCTTGTGACTATCTTTCCAGGCGGCAGTTGCAGCTTCGTCGGATGATGGCAGGGACTCCGGATCTAGGTCGATGTCGAACACCACCAGGAGGTGGAGTAGAGCGCTAAGATTGGAGATGACGCGCCTCCTGAAAGTACGTTTTAGTAATTCTTCTCTCCATATCTGCCCCCATACTCCCTTGAATTTTGACGTATGGCATGAGAAGAACTTACGATGATTTGTATACTCGAGTGACAGCTCTCTCCGCAGCCTTATCTCTCTGATGAAGCTCAGAAGGGTCGCCTTCCTCAGTATCTTCATTTGAAGAAGCTGTCTGACTTTTGGGCATCATTTTGGTTGTTTGCGATACACTTGGTCTTGATACTGGTTTCATGGAATATCTGTCTCTCCTTCAAAGTGAATTGTTCTTTGGCGTAGATGTCTAGGCCAGACGCAGTTGAGAGCAGAAAGAGAAGAAGTGAGTTTCCGTTCAACTGAGAAAAGTTCGCTAGCTACAATAATAAATGGATTTGAAAGTCTGAAGGAGATGCCGTTGAAGTGATGCTCTTTCCTTATCAAGACTTCAGGCAGACGATTACAAAGTGGCACCATCGTGTCGTTAAAGAACCAGCGAAGAGTCCTGCCTTCTAAGCCTTTGTGACCAGTACTCTCCTGTCACCTTCCTTCTGAGCCACTTGTTTGTCTATCAAACGGTCGTATTTTTCATTGACAGATGGTAAGAACTGGCAAAGCCGGGTACAATAGCCAGAAAAAAAAAAGAGAGAGGGAAAAAAAAAAAAAAAAAAAAAAAAACTACAAGTTGCTAGACGATACTATATCTCCAAGAGTTGAGCCTGCGGTTCGAGATGCTCCAAATTGCTAGTGTATTCATCTTTAGTTTTGAAAGCTTTCACTTGAACATATACTTGGTATAATTCTCTGCCAACAATGATGCAGTATCTACCTGCCCTTGAGAATCGCTCTCTTAGTCAACATTGGACGATGATGGTCTTGTCAGGGGCTCAAGGAGTGCATCCGTACAGTGTGCGACTGCCATAGACAGTGCAAGGTACCCCTCCCCCACGAAAGACTCTGCCCCTCCTCGAAGCGGTGAGTCAGGGCAAATACTTTGACTCAGTGTGCGTACTACCCCGCTGCAGCCAATGCACTGTTGCCCCTCGTCCCAGCTTAAATAATTTTGACCGGTAAAACTCGATCGCGAGACGCAGGATTTTTGGTGAGTCAAACCCGTCCGCCGTGACAACATAAATATCTCCCCGGGACTCGCCCATTGACAACTAATTTTGTCAACAGACAAACCCCGCAATCATGGCCGATTCCAGCGCTCCCGAACCCCCCACCGAGCAGGTCAAGGACCTCAAGGTCGAAGAGCAGAGCGCCAAGCTTTTGCTCGACGATGTCACCGGCGAGATGGTCTCTAAGACCGAGTTGAAGAAGCGTCAGAAGGCTCGCCAGAGGGATGCTGAGAAGGCTAAGAAGGCCGCTGCCGCCCCTCCCAAGCCCGCCGCTAAGAAGGGCAACGCTGAGGCCGACGAGAAGAACCTGGACCCCAGCCAATACTTTGAGAACCGTTCTCGTGCCATCAACAAGTGCGTCTTGTCTTTTGGTCTTTTAGTCGTTTGTTCAAGGGTATGGACTGACTAAATGCAATAGGCTGCGCGAGACCAAGTCTCCTAACCCCTACCCCCACAAGTTCCACAGTAAGACCTCCGAATACCATCATTCCTGGGAACCGAGTCTAATTTCTCCATGTAGCCGACTACGACCTGCGCAGCTTCGTCAAGGACTTCGGCCATCTCAAGTCCGGTGAGCATGACAAGTCCAAGGTCATCCGTGTCGGTGCTCGTATCTACAACAAGCGTGCCTCTGGCAACAAGCTCTTCTTCTATGATGTCCGCGCTGAGGGCGTCAAGGTCCAGGTCATGGCCCAGGCTCAGGAGGTTGCCGAGGGCACTCCGTCGTTCGAGGACCAGCACCTGCACCTCCGCAGAGGCAAGTATCGGGTTTTTCGATTAGAAGGGGTTGTTGACTGACCGTCGTCTGCAGGTGACATTGTTGGTATCATTGGTTATCCTGGAAGGTATGCGTCGCGTGATCTCTACCATTGAGCTCAATGCTAACTTTAACCCAACAGGACAGCCCCCAAGTCCAAGATTGAGAAGGGCGAGGAGGGTGAGCTCTCCATCTTTGCGACGGAGTTTGTTCTCCTCACTCCTTGCTTGCACACCCTTCCCGACGAGTACTACGGCTTCAAGGATCACGAGGAGCGCCACCGCAAGGTACGACTACCCGATATCGGACTTAGAACACAACGGCTAACATGGCGTAGCGCTACCTCGATCTCATCATGAACGAGAAGAGCCGTCAGACACTCATCGCCAGATCCAAGCTGGTTACCTACATCAGACGATACTTCGATGACAGAGTAGGTCAACTTCCATCGGATGATGTCGGCATCGGCGAACTAACTTGCGCAGGACTTCATCGAAGTCGAGACTCCTATGATGGGTCCCATCGCCGGTGGTGCCACTGCCAAGCCCTTCGTCACTCACCACAACGACCTTGACATGCAAATGTTCATGAGAATAGCTCCTGAGCTCTACCTGAAGGAGCTTGTCGTCGGTGGTCTGCACCGTGTCTACGAGCTCGGCCGTCAGTTCAGAAACGAGGGTGTCGATCTTACCCACAACCCCGAGTTCACCACCTGCGAATTCTACCAGGCGTTCGCCGACGTCTACGACCTCATGGACCTGACCGAGGACCTTGTCAGCGGCCTCGTCAAGCACGTCACCGGCGGCTACAAGACCAAGTTCCACACCCAGCACGGTGAGGTTTATGAGGTCAACTGGGAGAAGCCCTGGAAGCGCTTTGAGATGATCCCCGAGCTTGAGAAGGCCACCGGCGAGACGTTCCCTCCCGCTGATCAGCTGCACACTGCTGAGACCAACGAGTTCCTCCAGAAGGTTCTCAAGAAGATGAAGATCGAGTGCTCGCCGCCCCTGACCAACGCCCGTATGATTGACAAGCTGGTCGGAGAGTACATTGAGGAGCAGTGCGTCAACCCCAGCTTCATCTTTGGCCACCCGCAGGTCATGTCGCCCCTCGCCAAGTACCACAGAGATATCCCCGGTCTTTGCGAGCGCTTTGAGGCCTTTGTTTGCAAGAAGGAGATTGTCAACGCCTACACCGAGTTGAACGACCCCTTCGACCAGAGACTCCGCTTCGAGGAGCAGGCCCGCCAGAAGGACCAGGGTGACGACGAGGCTCAGATGATTGACGAGAACTTCTGCATGTCTCTCGAGTACGGTCTGCCTCCTACCGGAGGATGGGTAAGTTTACTGTCACCTGCTTGCCACCGTTTCACAAACTAATCAATTGCATAGGGTATGGGTATTGACAGAATGGTCATGTTCTTGACGGACAACTACAGCATTCACGAGGTTCTTGCCTTCCCCTTCATGAAGGAGGAGAAGCAGGCGGAGAAGAAGGCTTCCGCCGCTGAGGTCGTTGGCGTCAAGCCCGTCCCCGAGGAGGGTATTCGTAAGTAACGAAGACCCTGCTTTTGAAGAACCTGGCTAACTGTCGATACAGCCCACAAATAGATAATTCACCAGATTGATGGATTGTGTTGCCAAGAGACGATTCGGCTTATTAGATTGTCTACTCGCGAGAGCACGCAAAGGTGCCACCTAAAAGATATCCGGCAGACATTCCATAGTCTAGAGCTGAGCTTCTATTATAAAACAAAAAAATAGGATAGACAGGAGATGAGAGACCACTCGAGGGTGGTGTTGCCCGTCTAGTGCATGGTGCTACAGTGTTATACAAATCTTATTGTTCATGTGCCATAATGCAATCGCTGCCATAATGCAGATACCATGTGGAATATTCAGAAAACCGATAGCCCCTTCAATGCTTGACGTTCATGGCCTTGATGCGCTTCTGGATCATAGCCAGGGTGGACTTGGGCACACGCAGGCGGTGGCCGAGAACCAGGGCGCCAGTCAGCAGGGCCAGAGCACCAGCTTGGTGAGTCGCGGCCAGATGGGTAGGGACGATGTAGATGAGGGTGCTGATGCCCAGAGCGGCCTGCATAAGAACCAAATGGACGGTGCCCATGACACCCTTCTTCACATCTCTGGGAAGGGCGGCAGCCACGCGACCGGTGCGGGAGTAAGCAAAGAGGGAGAGGATAGCAGTGAGCGTGGTCATGGCGAGGATGCGGTGGTCGAGCTGAACAGTGCTGGGGTTCTCGAGCATGTTGCGCCACCACAGGTCAGAGCCATCCTCCTTGCGAGAGTAGAATTTGTCCCAGAGCTCCTTGGCTGGCGGGGTGAGACCGAGGCCCATGTAGGGGAACTCGTTGTAGATGAGACCAGCGTCGAGGCCAGCGACGAGAGCGCCAGACATGGCGGTGGTAAAGACCAGGGCGACAAGGGCAAAGGACAGGCGGCGGAAGGTCTTGATGGCAGGGTTCTGAAGGGCAGCCAGAGCCTTGGAGGCGGCGACAGGGTCGGCGAGTAGGCGGCGGGTACGTAGGATGGACAAAGCGGACATGAGCATCCAGGAGTAGCAGACGAAGGCCGTGGCAAGGTGGGCAGTCAGGCGGTACTGGGAGACACGAGGGTGGGAGCCGGGAGCGAAAAGGTCATCCTTGAGGCCAGACTTGACCATCCACCAGCCGATGAAGCCCTGAAAGCCGATGAGGGCGGAGATTCCAAGGAGGTTGACCGCCATCTTAGGGGTGACGCGGCGGCGGGCGATGAAGTACAGAGTCGGCAAAACGAAGGACATTCCAATAAAACGGCCCCAGAGACGGTGGGACCACTCCATGAAGTAGATCTTCTTGAACTCGTCCAAAGTCATATGCGGGTTGAGAAGCTTGAATTCGGGGGAAGCACGGTACTTTTCGAATTCGGATTCCCAGTCTTCATCGTTGCGCGGAGGGAGAGAGCCGGTTACAGGACGCCATTCAGTGATACTCAAGCTAGCTTGATGTTAGCCGAGACTCAAGAGACAAAGTTTGAAGTGGTGCCATACCCAGATTCGGTCAACCTCGTGAGGCCACCCCAGACAACGATACCAAAGACACTGACTGCGCTACCAAGAAGCCAATATGCTACAGACTTGGAATTCGTCTCGGGCCATGCGCTTTTCTTAACAGTATCCTTGGCCGCCTCAGCAGCCTGCTGGGCGATTGGGGAGGCCTTGTCGGCGATGACATTGCTGCTGAAGTTCAGCGGAGCCTTGGTCTGGTTGAAGCATCGGATCTGCTGCGGCTGCTGCGATCGTACGATATCGAGGATTCGGGAAGAGGATTGCCATTGCGGCTGCTGCCGCTGGCATTGTCGCAATATTAAAAGTGAAGGCGAAGCCCGAAGGGCCAGCCTTCGCAAACCCGGTGCGAAAGACGCCATGTTGGACCCGTGGAGGGTGTGGTGTTTGCTGCGACGCAGTTGTGGTGGTGTTGGAGTCGACTGATTTTATGGATATTTTATCTGGATGGGAAATAGACTGCAGCCGAGTGGTTCGGTGCTAAGGTGCTACAACTTCCGGCACCCCTCGGTAGGAAGCGGGCCCTCTTTTAGTCAAGACCCCTGGCAGACCAGTGCACCCTGGACACCCGTTGGTCTGTCGAACGATGGCAGGAGCGCCCCCACTGTAAATTTCTCATTGACCGCCATTCACCCACCTCGGCAGAATTTGTCGAAAAAGTTCCCTTCAGCGTGCTTGTGTGTGTGCGCTCCGATCCTGTGCGGGATAAGGCGTTGTGCGGACCGGCTACCAGAGCTCACGACAAACATCACTCACGCTCTCTATTAAACTCGTCGAAAAAATGCCTGGAAGACAATCCCACGGGCGGCCACTGCTGTCCTCGAAGCCGCAAGCGAAGAACTTCCGCAAGTCCAAGGCCAAGGCCCAGGCCAAAGCTCTCGACGCCTTTACCATCGCCTCAGAACAGTTCCCTACCAAGGAGAAGCGAACACCAAGGTTCCGTGAAATCGAGGCGCCTGCCGACACCGGAAAGAAGAAGCACAGTCGCGACGAAGATGATGAGGATGAGGACGAGGATGAGGATGGGGAGGAGCAGCCCAGGCGAAAGAAAGTGAAGCCCTCCAGTGGGGGTGGCGACGGTGATGATTCAGACGAATACGGCAGCGACAGCGAAGGAAACGAGTGGCATTACGGCGTTAACGAAGATGAGGACTCGGAACTCGACAGTGACGAGGCTTTTGGAGAGAGCGACGACGAGGATTTCCAGGGTTACTCTTTCGGAGGCAGCAAGTCTGCTAAGAACCAGGTTTGTCGGTAGTTGGCCTGAGACTAAAGACAGCTATTAACAACTTTGCCAGGAGGACGACTCAGATGAGGAAGATGATGGCGACGACGACGACTCTCTAGGCGAGGACGCAATCGACCTAGCGCAAGCTTTGGACGAGTACGAGTCCGACGAGTCCATGGCAGACCAAGATGACGGCTCCGAGGGCTCAGAGTCCGAAGACGATGCTGACAGCCCGCCATCGTCCGACGAAGACGACGAGGAGGACCAGGAAGCCGACCCCTCAAAGCTCGGCGAGCTCCAAAAGTTCATTGCCGGCTATGGTGGTGATGACGAGGACGCGGCACCCACGAAGCAAAAGCAAAAAATCAGTTTCAAGGACCTCGGTCTCGCCGGCGTCAAGGATGCGCAGATGCGCAAGTCGGTTAAAATCATGGCCAAGGAGGAGAAGGAGACGCGCCCTGGCGCCGGCAAGAAGCTCGACGTGCCCCTCGCTCGCCGGCAACAGGACAAACTTCAGCGCTCTGCGGCGTACGAGAAGGCCAACGAGACCCTTACCCGATGGCAGGATACTGTCAAGCATAACCGTCGCGCGGAGCACCTTGTCTTCCCGCTGCCCCAAAACGCGGCCGATGAGGGCCTCGACAACCGTGAGCTACAGGCCATCACTGCCAAGACGTCCACTTCCGAACTCGAGCAGACCATCATGTCTATCATGCAGCAGAGCGGTCTCGCGCTCAACAAGGAGGAGGAGAACAAGATGAAGAAGGCAGAAGCAGAAGAGGGTCTCTCCAAGGAGGCGCTCAAGGATCTCGTCAACCAGCGCCGACGCGAGCGTGAGCTCAACTCGCGCGAGACGAAGCGGGCAGCGCGTATCAAGAAGATCAAGAGTAAGGCTTACCACCGTGTCCACCGCAAGGAGAAGGAACGTGAGGAGATGAAACTTCATGAGGCTATGGCCGAGAACGGCGAGATCGACTCTGAGGCCGAGCGGGATGCAGCAGACCGCGCGAGAGCGCTGGAACGTGTGGGTGCTCGCCACAGAGACTCCAAGTGGGCAAAACTCGGCGCATCCAACAAGCGTGCTGTCTGGGACGAAGATTACCGTGCCGGCCTGCATGACATGGCCCGCCGCGAGGACGAGCTGCGCAAGCGCAAGGAGGGCCGCTCTGGAAACTCCGACAGTGAGGAGGAATCTGACGATGGCGACAGTGACGGTTCCGACGAGGAGGGCCAGGAGAAGCGCGCGCTGCTGAAGCAACTCAAGCGTATCGAGAACGAGGAGGACGACGGCCCAACCTCGGCACTGATGCAGATGAAGTTCATGCAGAAGGCTGAAGCCCAGCAGAAGAAGGCCAATGACGAGCTGATCGCTCAGATCCGTCGGGACATTGCCTCTGACGGCGAGGGCAGCGACGAAGAGGAGGTGACCGAGGTCGGTCGCAATAAGTTTGGCAGTGCAGCTAAGCCTGCCATCTCAGCGCCGGCGCTTTCCAAGAACAAAAAGAGCAAGAAGACTGCGGCCGCGGAGACGGACGACAACGACGTCCCTGACAACAGTGTTCTCAACACCGGATACTCCATCACAGCTGAGGCCTCGACAACAGGCTCCGCATGGTCCTCTGGCCCTCGCAAGAAGTCATCCAAGTCCCAGTCAAGCGGCGCGCGCGTTGCGGACCTCGACAACTCGCAAGCCTTGACCGCCGTGGCGCCCAAGTCCAAGTCCAGATCAAAGACCTCCGGCAAGGGTGGCGCTGCCGCGGATTCGGATGCCGATTCGGACGAGGGGGAGGACATCCACCTGCCCCTTGCGATCCGCGACATCGCGCAGATGGACAAGGCATTCGCAGGCGACGACGTCGTGGTCGATTTTGAGCGCGAAAAGGCCGAGATTGAGGCCGACGACGACGACAAAATCGTCGATAACACGCTGCCCGGCTGGGGCGGCTGGGTCGGCGATGGCGTGAGCCAACGCGAGAAGAAGCGGCAACAGGGCCGGTTCTTGACCAAGGTCGAGGGCATCAAGAAGGCGGATCGTAAGGACGCCAAGTTGGAAAAGGTTATAATCAGCGAGAAGCGCGTTAAGAAGGTTCGTCATACACCCGTATATTTCCGACTAATGTTTTTTTTTTCTTGCATCACAGTTGCTGACTATCTGCAGAACGACAAGTACCTCGCATCGCAGCTCCCCCATCCCTTCGAGTCCAAGGCGCAGTACGAGCGCTCGTTGCGTCTGCCGCTTGGCCCCGAGTGGGTTACCAAGGAGTCTTTCCAGGAGGCGACGAAGCCGCGCATCCTCAAGAAGCAGGGTATCATCGCGCCCATGTCAAGACCGACATTGTAGGGAGCGACGACGATGGGGAAGAATTGGAGGAGCAATGTAGCATGTTATATACATATACTTTTTACACTATCCACAGAAACAGAAAAACACCTCCTGACGGTGTTTTACAGCGCGGCGTAAGACGCCTGCAGCAAACGACAAAAGCAAATCTGATAAATCTTTTTCTTTTTTCATCATTGTCCATAGGGACGACTTTTTGTTCATTGCGGACAAATACTAGCAATTACGGACCTCGCGAACCAAGTGTTTTTTTTCATCTTTGTGCCTTTGCCAACACCAATTTCTCCGTTCCTCTCTGGATGGAATCTGAAATACCGCCCCCTGGAGAGCACACCGTGGAATATAGTACAGTTCTGAGATAGACACACCAAGGAAATATGCACACAAAAAAGTTTGTTTTGTTCAACGATAGTCTGCCGATAGGGCCTCGTCGCTTCAGAGGCATGCCTCACAGCGAAATGATAATTTTCGTTATCAAAAGTGTGCCCTTTGAGCGCCAGGACGTCCTATAGGGTATAGTGGTCGTTCCTGAACGCCGAGCTCAGGTGTTGGGTTATCAAGCATATACACCCGTTCTAAACCTTTTCTCAACGTATAATGACATGATCAACACCTCCTCCTCAGCTCAGCCCTTGACGACGGACAGAACCCGGTCAATGGCATCGCTAGGGCTGACGTAGAAAGCCAAGGCGATGATAAAGTAGAGGCCAAGCAACATGGCTCCCTCGAGGTAGTTGGACTTGCCGTCCTGCACAGTGTACGTAACAACCAATACAGAGAATGCAAAGGCGACGGTCTCAAAAGTCTCGAAGTGAAGAGTCATGGGCTTGTCGAGGACAGCCCATCCGAGGATAACGAGGAAAGGCGTGACGAGAAGGGCGATCTGAATGCTAGAGCCGATGGCGACACCCATGGCAAGGTCCATCTTGTTCCTAATGGCTACAACGACGGCAGTAACATGCTCCGCAGCATTACCGACGATGGGAATCAGGATTAGACCGATGAAGTTCCTGCTAATGTGTGCGCTTTCGACGAGATCATCAATGCTTCCGACCAAGTAGTCGGCGCAGATGGCGACCAAAACAGTGGTAACGACGAGAACCAAGCCGGCAGCGATAGGGCCCATGACAGGCTCCTCGGCCTCCTCCTCGAGGTGTTGCTGAATCTCGGCATCGAAAAGGTTGGGGTGGGTGCGGAGCTGGAACCAAAGGTACATGACATACAGCGCCAGAAGGATAATGGCAGTACCTCGAGAAAGCACTAAAATGCTGTGCTCCTTCTCGGCAGACTCTGCCTTGTCAAGTACTGAGTAGAGCTATCATGCAGTGTTAGTCAGGGGGGTGGGGTAACAGGCACACCGGTGGAAGCCTTACCGTAGCAGGGATAACCAGCGAAGCTGATGACAGCGTCATCAGCGAGCAAGTGGTCTGCGCTGTGGCAGAGGCGAAGCTCTGTTCCATGCCCTGGCCCGTAACCCTATCGCGCATATTGACAATACCGCCAAAAAAGAAGCACATGCCCATGACGAGGAGCAAGTTGGACAGAATTGAGCCTAGCATGGACGATTGGACGACCTCAATCTGGCCGTCTCTCAAGGCGACAATGCTGACAATCAGTTCGACGGCATTTCCAAAGGTAGCATTGAGCAATCCTCCCAAAGCTTCGCCCAGCTTCATCGAAATCTGTTCGGTCGCAAACGACAAGACGGCGGCAAGCGGGATAATGGCGAAGAAATTGATGGTGAAAACAGCGGTTGAGCTCCAGTTGGACTCTCCAGCGACGATGCCAATGGGGACCATGACGAGTAGGAAGTTGACATAGTCTGTGGGTGAAGATGCATGTTAGAAAGGTGTGCGCAACTTTGACAAGAAGAGATGCGACTTACTGCTGAGGAGAGTGACCTTGGTGACGTGCCAGATATGGGACGAGTACTTCACAGCGATGTTGCTGCTATCGGTGCCAGGAGTATGCCTCGCATCAAACAGAAACTTGAGCGTCTTGTTGCCGTTGTAGTGGTCGTCGCCATTGGCGCCGTTGCCATTATGGGCATGGTAGCCGGAGTGGTTGCCGTTGAGGAGAGGCGAGTTCTCGTCTGCCTCGCCATCGCGGCCGTTGGGCTTATTGGTGCTGCCCCAGGAGCGAACCTGTTCGCGGAAATGACGGTTGGCTGAATTTCCAGACATCACGCCGTCATATTAGTCCAAGCCTTGTACCTCCGAAAGAGAACAATGAAGCAATATCTGCTGTCGCGAGTGCTGCGATGGCAGTGTGCGGTAGGTATGAGTGAGGTAACCGACGAGTGAGAAACGAAAATGGAAAGGAAAAACAAGGAGTGACAGTCCGCAGGATAAGGCGACCAGATAGATGTGTGAGCCGCCTGGTATGCCTCTGGAATGAAAGGACGAGAGAAAGAAGAGAAAGGGCCAGTAGCAAGCGGATTGAGATATGCTTGTGTGGCTTGGAGAAAGGAAAATGTAGAGCGAGTTGACGGCGTGGAAAAGATGCGCCTAAGACTGGAGCCGCCAAGAAGAGGCAGTAGTAGTAGCGCAAGTAGTTGTCAGGGAGGTGCAGCAGTTATTGAAGGGACATGGGTGGGAGGGGGAACGGGGCTTTGCTGGGGGGCCGACGATGGACGGGTAAGTAAGTATGAGGCGGGTAAAGAGTAAAAAAAAAATAAAAAACAAAAAAATGGAAGCATCCAAGACAAGGCCGGTTAGAGGTACCTTGGGAAATGCAATTTGGTAAGGCAAAGCAAGGGTGGTGCAGACAGATCAGAGGGCGAAGCAAAAAAGTAAAGACGGTCTGAGAAAGCAACGGTACTTACAAACCATCATGTGCCCCGAGCTGGGTATACTATGTAGGTAGCGTGGTAGCGTCTATCTGGACTGGTAGTTCCGAACAGTTGTCACGACGGTCCGGACGGAATTTGCTGGGAGGTCCTGTATCTGGGTGCCGCCCGACGGGCAAGGCAAGTGGGGTAAGCGTCCGTCGGTCAGTGAGGGCGTGATCCAATTGAAGGGGCGCAGATGGGAGCACGTTGGGTGCCAAGTCGCAAGGTACAGAGTGATCTGGTATCGGGAGGTGTGAGTGATGGTGGTCCAAGTGCAAGTGCGAAAAAATTAGGGGGAGGATGAGCTCGAGGCAGAGCGCGGGCACCCTTTTGATGCGATGCGGGTCGGTGATTGAGTCGAGTGTACTTTTGCCGACCGTATGGAGAAATGCAGTGCGAACGCAAGGCCCAATTGGTAGTCTCTGCGTCTGCGAGGGACGAGAACAAAAAGAAGGAGCTTCAGGTATCCGTGAAATGTTCAACAGGGCGTGTTCCAGCTGCAGTTCCAGTTTCCAGTTTTCCAATCTTCAGTTGATGGCAAACGGCGATATGAAAGGCGGTTGGGTAGTGAGAGAGACGCAGGAAAGAGAAAGAACACAGCCCCCTTTTCTTGTCAGGCTAATATGGAGAACGTGGGACGAATTCTGTGGTACGGATCCAAGGGGGGAAGGTAGGACGAAACACACAACCAGAGAGAGACACAGACAGAGAGATACCTACGTATGAGTGACTGTATGGTATGCTATTTCCTGAATCTGGTTGGTGGTGGGTGGTATGTGTCAAGAGTGTGCATGTCGTGAGTCTGGCCTTACTGCAGCCGGGAGGCAGCCCATGGCCAAGCATGCGGGCACTTCCAGTCCAGAACCATGACCGCATTGGATTGGATCTCCCTCACTAGTGTAAAGCAACCTCGAAAAAGCTTCGAAGCAACCGTGCCTTGGGGTGCTCCAAACGTCATACAACGGACTAGCCAGTAATGAACAGGTTTCAGCAAGGGGTGAAGTCGGCGGCGCCCAATAAGAAGCTGTTGACGATGCCAAGCGTGGCTGTGTTGTCTGGTGTTGCTTCCCAATATCTCCGCTGTTTCCTGTCGGTGCCGCTCGCTAAGGTACTTTCCTCCCCTCTATAACCACTTAGTACATAATACATAGGTAATGAGCGGTGCACCCGTCTTCCTCCCACATCTCCGCTGGGAAAGAAAAGCGCTTCTATCCATCCCCCCTGCTGTGGCGGGCGCATATCACCATCCATATGTCTACTAGTAGACACTTTTTCACTGCATCTTCTTCTGGAAATGCCGGGTAGCTTACGGATACAACAACTGTCCAACGCCCCTGCTGTCTCTTTGACCGGTCGGTCAGCAGAGTACGTGCTTGGTTTTTTCTTCCTCTCCCCAGCGACTAGACATCTGATTCCGTCATCATCCGCTTTTTTAGTTTTAGTCTCCTCCACCCGCCACTCCCCTCACCATCGCAAACCATGATCCACTCAAGTGAAAATTAAGAGAGACAAAAACAAAAAAGGCATAGGGAAACTTGGTTGCATTCGGCCTCTCATAAGCATTTGTCCATAAAGACTATTTTGCTGTCGCATTCAAACTTCCCCCAAACCAAATCAGCAATCCCTCCACTATTGCTGCAGCAACCTCAGAAACCTTGGAGTGAAATATGAACAATTTTAGGCTTCGCTGACAGTCACTTTCAATACCTTGTTTTTTTTTTTTTTTTCTTCTTTCGTCTCGGCACGAGGTCGTCCCACTGCCAGGGAAATCGTCCTGACCTTCGGCTCATATAACCGGACGACTTGCAGCAAAACGCTCGAGCTTCAGAGGAATAAATAGCACCTCCTGTTTGCTCGCCGTTCCATTTACAGCCTTCTGGACTGATTAACCTCTTCAACCTCAAACGAGGACAGCTTCTGGGCTCGTCTGAAGATTGCCTTTGCTGCGAGCCTGCGACTAACAGGATACTACGGTACGTATTATTTGCCCCACATGTAGCCATTAAATCAAGGCAAACAAGCTCCAAACCGCACTCCCTGCCAATGCTGTTTTCGGTTGCCCTGCGAAACGCCCTGCCTTGGCTTGCTGGGATCGGGGTCCCATGGTGTCCACTCGGATACGGAACCCCATGCATCGATCTACGGACCCCCCAGTTACTCAACCCGACGAGAATCAACTCTCATCAAGGGACGCTCTGGACCCTTATCGCCTTATCGATAAAGCTTTCTGATGCAGCTTCCCCTCGCCAATTAAATCGGCTTTCCCAACCTACGCAGTCACGCAGTATTCTGCCCTGGTCGAATCTCACTTGGTTCTTGGCTTCGGTGCCCAACTGTAATGGCCACAATGTGCACAGCCCTGTCTATCTCGAGATCTCGACCCTCCAACGCTTATATTTTCGCATGAAGATGTCGCTGCCAAGGCCCTGGAGATGCCTGTTTAATCATCCAACAAGATTGCCTCAACTCTGAAATGCGGGGGTGGGCACAGAGACCATGGTCCGTCGCCCCTTGGATTTTTTCTTTCCTCTTTCCGACTTCCCGAGTCATCCATTCAGACAATGCTGCTTCATGCGCGCACTCTCGAAGTTGCCATCGTGCGCTGGCACTTTTCACAGACACCGCCATTCAATCGTCCATTTCCCGCCCACACCTCCGACTCCGCTAACGCCCTGCATGCTCTCACATCACCATTTTGAACGGCACTCACAGATCGCTACCATGAACGCTTCGTCAGACATGCGTGGTCCTGATGGCTCACTCCATTGGTTGACGATCCAAGGTGAGACATCAGCAGCCTAACGCAGTCACTTCTGAGGCAGCCTACGACAGCCTCATGCTGTGAAAACACACCTTGATGACCGTCCTGTTATCGCATTCATCATTACCAGCCACGTTGCTAGTCTGATAATTTGGCCATGTAGACAAAGCCAACGGGTCGCATATCTTGAAGTTGTCAAGTTGACTACAATCTCGCACAGACCTAAGCACTTGTCCTACACGGAATTCCGTGTATGTCTTAGCATTCATGTGGTGGGAAGTGCAACTATCATTAACTGCTGGCACTTTGATGCTCCCACTTGCGTTGCTCTGAAGCACCCCATTTGAAGGCAGCTCGCATTTCGTCTCATGTTAAAACCGTCCCCAGTATGTCCGTCATCCTGTGCCCCTCATCGGTCAAGAATCTCGGTGGCCTGAAAGACGTCAAGCTATGAGCCGATGGTGCCGTCTTCCGGACAGGGCCGCACCACTCCCATCCCGCCCCAATAGCGGCATGAAAAGCTTCCAGGGCAAAAGTAGCGTCGCCATTAGCCGTTGCCGTTGTCGTCCGTCAATGCGTCTAACAGCCATTCTTGCCCTACAAAAACCTTGCCCTGAGCCTCACAATTCAGCTGCAACAGCTAAGCAAGCCTGACAGCTCGGCACTAGACTGTATTAAAGCGAATCCCGGCCTATATCGCAGATGAGTTTCAATCGGGCAAATAGAGACACTATGGCTCAAGAAAAGGCAATGTTTCAAAGAAAGTGCATATTGAAAGCCCTGCCCCGGATTCCGGCAAGTCGAAGCCGAGATGAGATGCAAGTGCACAGTATCTCTGTACAGTCATTACTTGGACATGTACACGGTGTTCGTACCTGGCACAAGCCCATCCTCCACCAAAAACCACCACATTTCATCGACCTCAACCAGACAGACGCTTACACACATCGAACTGATACTCTCACACGAAACGCCAAGTAATAAAAAGGGAACAATATATAGGAGTGATAGACAGCCTGATTCTGATCGGTAGTTACAATAAGCATTGTGGCAAAAACAACGAAAAGAACAGGAACAAAAAAAAAAAAAGGAAAAAAAGCTTAGCCTTTTCGGACCCCAGTAAACCTGCAGCAAGGGAAGACCAGAGCCTGATGTGACGTGGATGGATGACGCGTCACCTTGACACTCAGGGTGGAAAAGTCGACCTCTTTTCTGTCCATTTGCTCTTTTTCCCGCGTTTTCCCAACGTCGTCTCCCCCCTCCCTTACATAGTAAAACGAGGGGTGTGTGCAGACGTAAACCCAGGATCGACATTCACCCCCCCAAGCTCCAGCTAGCTAACATTCAGGGACTAATTAAAATCCATGAAGCTACTGGCGATGTGATGCAGGGTCTCATATTCTTCAGGTGCCTGTTGCACGCATTCAACTAGCTCGGAATAGGAAAGCAAAGTCTTGGAAGCTCACAATCATAGCCCGAGTGCTGTTGTAGTAACGGCTTTTTAGCTTATACATTCACAAAATGGTAACATAGTATGCAAAACACCAAAAGCAAGAACTCTGATTCTGTTTCGTAAAGATAGTGTCTAAGTTTGCTCGTGTATCGCGTTACGTTGTCGTTTCCGTCGTTGAGGATTGCTCTTCCTTCTCTTCATGGTCGTGTTCATTCCATCATCACTCATGCAAGCAAGAAATCGAATGCGGCCGCCCTCGTGAGCATCTTTAGGTCATTACTTGCAATCTGATTGTTTCCCGCACGCGTGTAGGAAAGGAGTGTTAGATGCCGCCCATCGCTGGTTTGGAAGGTCAGTAATTGTTTACAGCTCTGTCGTGATTGGGGTCGAACTCACCAGCGGCATAGGTCAAATACCACGTCAAGCTTGCACCTCCATCAATCCAGCCTGGGTCGAAATTGGGGCTGTTGAAAAAGTCGAACGCGGTCCTACCGTCGATAGTCGCCAGGTTTCCATAGATGATTCCTCTCCAGCCGCCCGCGATGCCATCCACGCGGCCTCCGCTAAAGTACGTTTCCCACTCTTCCCGCACAAAGTCAGGAGTGCGAACAAAGGGCGAGGGCGCCAGGAGAGGGATCATATGGATGCCCTGGATATACTCGATATTAGCGCCGAAGAAGGTTGTGTGGTCGATTTTGTTTTCGAACAGAATGCCGGCCACCTTGTTTCCGATAAACTGGGGTGGCTGCACGACATTGTCGCTCTTGTAGAGGTAGTATTGCTGGAGGGCACGGGAGATGATGGACAGTTGCAGATTGCCTCGCATAGCCATAGCGCTGTCCCCTGACGCCTCACCCCACATCTTGATGGCGTAGGCGTGCATCATGTCCTCGGAGCTTGACTCTTGATTCTGTTTTGATGTGAGCAATTGTGTATTGAATGGAAGATTTCGACTTACCTTTCCATCATACGAGGCATATAATCCATGAGCCCAGCTGTGCCCATGGTACCAGTCGAAAGAGCGCCACGTAGGAAAGTACGGATCTTGAGTGCTCGGATTGGCCACATCGCGGACCAGCGTGTTAACATAGTCTCTATTCTCTTGCATCCAGCCGGGGTCCAGATGTGCGATAGCCGCAGCAGCAAGAATATGATATCCATAATGAAAGTGATGATCGTTGTAGTTCGTGTTGCCGAAGTCAGCGCCATCGTTGCCCGTCACGTAGGTTGCTGAAGATACAACACCACCCCATGCGCCTGCAAGTCTGGTGAGTTATTGGGCCAGGACACATTTGGGACCAAAAAACATACTTTCGTATAGTAAAGGAAACTTCTGTTGGTTGGTGGCGAATTTGGCAAACGCTGCCTTCAGCCTGTTGAGAGCTGATTGAGCCAAGCCTGCATCTCGTACAATGTCGTTGATGGCAACAATCATGATAGCAAACTTGGCCAATGCCTGTATGAATGTTAGAGGCAACTCTAAGACTACGCTGAGTGGATTATACTGACCTTTCCACTGAAATACATGGAGTCTAAGTCTGACTGCGCCATCATGTCCTGGGATACCTCCTGGACTGCTTTCTCACGGATTATAGCTCGCGCATTGTCAGAGATTGCCGTGAGTGGACCTCGATCAGGGCTCCAGGGGGCAAAATTCATGGTAATGGGAAGGTTTGGCTCAACCATCGTCCATTGATCAGCTAGGACCACAGTTGCAATGCCCTTGGTAGGAGTCTGCAACTGGACCTGCTGAACTGCTGCCCGGGTCGTGGCGTCAAACGAGGAAACATGATGCGGCAGTGCATACATGACCAATTTTCCGTCTTGATGTCCTTCCTTGGCGAACTTGAAGCTGTAAACACCCGTACCACCGTTTACGGATCCAGCCAGCTCAACCGTCGTAGGGTACACTCCAGCAGCATGGTCAAACAACGCCTCGCCATTCCCAGGATCCTTGCACACCTGTATGATTCCGTAAAAGGGGCTTGTCGATTGAGCCACGCCGTTGCTGACAACCTGTAGGTTCAACGGATCACCAGTGGTGGCATATGCGTAGAGCCGCCAAATCTTTCCATCTTCAAGTTGAAAAGTATACTTCGCAACGCCGGGCTTGGGATCCTGAGATGCTCGCGTCACCGTTCGGAAGAATACTCCAGTCCGAATCACAGGAGTCGTGCCAGCATATTGAGCGGTGATAAATGGCATTCCTTGGACCAAAGGGAAAGAAACTGCAGGAACAGTTCCGGCATTGGGTCGCAGATGGATCCTCGCTGAAAAGGCCGTAATATTGTCTATCCCCAGAGTGGTCTCTGGGCCGAGCTCTTGAGCGCTGATTACCATGGACTGAATACCTACTGGGTTGATAAAGTAAGCCGCAGCTCCAGAGGGCTTATTCGGACCAAAAACTCTCTGATTGGCATCAATGTGGGAGATGGCCATGCCGAAACTCGCGGCGGCACCTCGCCCTGCCCCCCATGATATGCCGTAGGGGTAGGTGTACGTTGGCGCCGTCTGGTCCCCCAAGAAAAAGTTGGAATAAAATTTGTTTGTCTGAAGAGGCGTGTTGGACGTGATCCCCTTTCGTGGAACCGGATGATCACTACGGGCAGAGATGGAAGGGTGAGGCGGCGTTGTGCCGATAGGCGCCGCGAAAAGATCCCCTGATGCCATTGGTGCTGATGGGAGTGGTGAGAGCGAGACCTTTGTTCCAGAAGAAACTGGCTCAATTAAAGTCGATGGGGTTGGGATAGGATTCGATATAAGAGGGCAAGTCGTGACTTTGCCCGAAGTATCGAGACTGCTGTGTACGTCTCCCGATGTATGGGGTGCTTGGTTAGTCAATGAGGGCAATATCACTACGGTTCCGCCAGATTGCTCGCTGGTAATGATGGGAACGGTCTCAGTTTCAGCGGTGGGTCCTGGCGTTTGCTGTGTTCCTCTGGGAATTCTGACGGTGACGGTGAGATTCGTCGTTTCGGTAAGGCACGTCAGATCTCGAGTACCCAGTAGCAGAGGGCGAATACTGAGCTTTCCCACAGTTCTCAACCCTCGGTCAGCAAGGTGAAGGCGTACGTGCTGCTGATGGAAAAGGGCGAGGGCGCTCTCGCAGAGGAAAACCTGTATGAAAGTCAGCCCAATGAGCCCTATATTGAAGCTAAAGCCCGCCATTGCGGGAGATTAGTGATCTTATCGTGTCGGTATGCGTGTATTTTGAAAAAGAGCCAGTTGTGGCTGGTTCGTCGTGTAAGTCTTGGTAAGGAAAGAAAATATCCTTAACCGGCGCCAACACTCGTGGGCGAGGCGTCGGGTACAAATAAGCGATTCAAAGGAGAGTCATCAGGTCAACAATGACAATCCTCTGATCGAAGCGGCAGTGCCATGCCAGTATGAAAAGATCGAAGTCCAGATGTGGACGGGCAGCAGGGTTACCGTGCAACATATGGGCGAAGGAATGCAAGAGTCTTGGAAACAATGGGCGAGTCTTACCTGGTAGCAATGTTGAACGGCTTGCCGGGGAACTCAAGCTCCGCTAACAACCAGATGTTCCGGACAATTAGGAAAGAATAAGACCTCAGGAATCAAGTGATCGTGATTTGAACAAGCCGGCAGGTATTGATAATAATTGTATCTTGGGTATGCCAGAGGATTTACTACCCAAAAACTGATGGCGGGGAGGTGTTCTTAGGGCTGGCGGAGAATGACGCCTGAAGTCTGGAATATGAAAATAGAAAAGAAATGTCAGCTTCCAGAGATGGTTGGCGAGACAGTTTAGAGGTCACTAAATGATTCGAATGTCGTTGTTTCGAGTGCATCAGCCTCAGATATTCTGAAGGGAAGGAAGTTTCGGCACACGACTAATGTTGCGAAGAGCGGCCCTCTTTGGCTGACGCGTGCCCTCCCTTGGCGTGGGTACCCTTCGGCATCGAACCTGCCGGTCCATTGGCGGAAGAGGCGGAAAACAGCCAATCGTGAGAGTGAGTTGTATAATTGACTGAGCAACTGGCCACTTCCAGGTGATGGCATGTAAGTCGAATTCACAGCCGTTGGCAAGTCTTATTGTCTCTACAAAGGGTCACGTTAGGCGGGGTTGCATTACAACACACAGTTAGACTTTTGAAGCAATGACGTAAGGGCTACAGGATCAAAATAGACATCACGAAAAGGATGGAATTCACAACTCTACTGGCCGTCTAGGGAGAGTTGATGTTGAGTTGTTAGCCAGTTGAAGATTTCCACAACACAAGACACATGAGGATAAGGCACAGAGCGCTTTAGTGTGACCAACATCGAGCCTACTCAACCCCTGATTGGAGCATTGTTTGTCTTGGCGATGTCAAGATTTGACCCAGCATCCGAGTTAGCAATACCGACGACAGGCGAAAGGCTACCAGATGAAATGATTGCGGTGTTTCTGCTATTTTTTCAGGGATCTAGTACATATATAGATATATGGGTATCAATTGCAAAGAAAGCAACTCCGAAGCGCCAATCGTAGCCCCCAAATCATAAACCGAGAGCACTATACTTCCCTCTGAGACTTTCATCCAGGACATGTCGCAATAAGCCGCCGGATGATCCGACTCTCCTCTCTTCAAGTCTCTTACTCTTTCTGAATTTATGGATCCGATAGAGGTCAGCATCGTTTGCAGTGGCAGCATCTCTGACATTGCGTCGCTTCTCATCGTCCTTCGCTCGCTTCTTCTCTTCATGCCTCTTTTCCTTCTTCCGCTTTCTCTCGTCTCCATCGCCCTTCTCCCGCATCTCCTCCTTTTTACATCTCCGAATCTGTTTCTCGCTGAGCACCCACGGCTCCAAGAGGACCTCGTTGCGGAACTGCGTGCGCCGTTCCCACAGCGCCACTTCTTGCTCCGTTGCCCTGAGCACCTTGACCTTTTCAATCTTGATCTGTTTCTCCTCGCGGAAGGTCGCCACACCACCTTTGATGTCGACCACAGAACCCACCTCGAGACCACTGCAGTCAGCCGGCGGCTGCGGCTGAGGCCTGTTACTTATCAAGAGTGCATTCGAAGCGTCGGTTGTTGTAGACGTCTTCAGAGAGGCGGAGGGCGTCTTCAGCGCGACGGTGCATTCAATGCAGGCTCCGCTGCTGTCGTCGACCGTGTAAATGCGGCGTCCCGGAAAGTCGTCAATCGCAACGATGATGCCCACGATGCGGACCCATTTTATCGGAAGGTTATTGTAGAAGTAAAAGTCCTGGACTGCGGGGAGACATAGACGTCAGCCTTGGGCGGTGAGCAGTATGCATGCGATGAAGAAACAAACCTGCAAAGTCAGGGACGGACCTGAGGGCGTGTATATCGGATGCGTGCAGTAGACACCAGGTGTTAAAGGTAGGGGAGAGATGAAGGCAGTATTGCGGATAGAGACCTGCAGGCGAGTCACCCGTCATGGCATGGTCGGCTTATGTCAAATCGATTGATTTCTAGTGGTGCTAACCATCATTCTGTCACGATCGTTGTCCTACTGGCGGCTACTGTTGCAGTCGTGCTTGGGCGGGAAATGAAAAAGCGCGTCGCGTGGAGGAGAGTATGTGTATGACGCCTGGGCTTGGGGTTTATTGAGAAGAAACTATGGTTGACCTGGGGATCCCTTGTAGGTTGCATAGTGCCCCGCATTGTGCCGCCCAGGCAGCTGGCCAAGTGCTTCAGTACCTTAGAATGCACAACGCCACATATCACATTTTGAAATGTGGTTAGTAAATTTGCACGAACAAGAAAGAGAAGTGCAAACCCGGGTTTCCTTATATTTTCAATGCAAAAAAACTCCAAATGCCATACTGTTTATCCCGCCCTATCCCAAAGCACCATGCCCAGTGTATTCCATGTCCTGTGACGCCGAATGAAAAATACCCTGCCTACCGATTTGACTTCCTACCCGCTCTTGCAGGTTTGCTCTCATCTGACTTGGCCTTTTTCAGCCGCGCTGCTGCGGCCTGGAACGCCTCTTCTGATGGTTCTTCTTCTATGACCGCTCTTTTCTTGCCTTTCTTCGGCTGGCTTGTAGCCCCATATTTGGCAGCGAGATCGTCTAAGAAACCTGCCCGCTTCTGCTGGTTGCTTTTGATGAGCGCAGCCAGATCGTCCTCGCCGTTATCCTTGCCCTTCTTCTTCTTCCCCTTTCCTTTCGAATCTCCGCCAAAGAGCTTGTCGTGGACACCGAGCTCCTTGGCGTATTCCTCAGCTTCCTGCGCCTCGCCTTTCGCGGCCTTGACCCGAGCTGCCTTGGAGAGCTTGCTCTCCTTGGTGTATCTCTTGAACGCTGGGACATCATCACTGGCAATGGCGTCGTCGATGATTTTGCGGAAACGCTCGTCGTCCTCGAGAACGTCACTCAGCATTACCGTCTCGTAAACTTTGTCCATATCACCTTTAGACTCTTCGTAGGCAATCAGAATATCATCCTTCTCCTCGTCAGAGCCCTTGTATTTCTTGGCAAACTTCTCAATGGCATCGGCGGAAATCGCATCGCGGAACTGCTCGCGGTAGTAATCGGACCAGTTGAAGCCCTCTGAGTCGATAATGGACTCCGAGGTAGAGCCGGTCGTGTCATAGCGCTTGCGCCGGGCGGGATCTGATAGGATGGCATATGCGAAGGCGATGGACTGGAACTTCTCCTTTGCTTCATCTCTTTGATCGTCGGGGACTTTATCTGCAAGCCGTACCACGTTAGCTCGTGGGGAAAGATGAAATGCACTTAGAGTTTCTTACCAGGATGATTCCTGAGTGCCGCTTTGCGGTAGGCCGACTTGACATGATCAGCTGTTGCTTCGCGGTCGAGTCCAAGAATCTCATAAGGGTCAATCGCGGGAGGCTCGCCCTCCACGAGATCGTCAGACAGAGGAGAAGACATTGTGAAGGAATCGTTGGCAACGTGGATATTGGGTCGATGACGGAGGCAGAAATCTGAAGTTGCGACGCGCTACAGCAGCTCAAGACGCGCCTGCTAAAGTGGTGGGTCCGTGCAGAAGAACCTGGGTAAGATCGGATATTGGGCCGTGCGTCGGACGGGGCATGGAACAGCAAGCGATCAGTGGATGCGGCACCGTTGAGCTAAAATGTGTGACCCCTCCCCATCCTTCGCCAATTATTAGTTTACCAGAAAGTAAGTATTTTACATTTCAGTGATCTCCAGTTGATTGAGATAGAAACGACGTCGCCACAGTTTGTCAGAAAAACGCCCTCGTTGATATTAACATCCTTGGACCGGCCTCAAACTTGTAATTGCATCATCTTGATTTGCGGATATTTCAGACATCATCTCTCACATATATCCCAGAAGATGGCATCAGAGCTCGACGCCATAGAACCGGTGCCAGTAGCGCCAGGAGATCATAAAGGTTATCTACAATACGCCCTCTCGCTAGCAGAAAAGTCGCCACCAAAGCCTTCCAACTATCGCGTAGGGGCGGTGCTCGTCAATCCTACCAACAACACCGTCGTCTCGACGGGCTACACCTTGGAGCTACCCGGTAACACGCATGCCGAGCAATGCTGCTTTATGAAGCTGGCAGATCAGCACGAAGTTGCTGAGGATGAGTTGGGTTCCACGATAAACACGCCTCTTGTTTTGTACACCACCATGGAGCCATGTTCAACAAGGTTGAGCGGGAATTTGCCTTGCACCCAGCGGATTCTCCGACTCCGGTCCATCATCAAGACGGTCTATGTTGGCGTCCAGGAACCGGAGAAGTTTGTCAAGGACAATACAGGGCGGACGGCTCTTGAAAGGGCGGGTATTGATTTTGTCCACGTCAAGGGACTGGAGGGCGACATTCTCAAAGTTGCTACAGCAGGCCATGTAAAGGCACCAGCCTAAGGGAATTCATCTGCAACATGTTGCTTTGTTCGCAAAACTGTCTTTTTCCGTGGCTGTTTCTACGACCAAAAGCTCCAAACTACAGTGGTACTGATGCAGCGGTCTGTCGCCAGGCACTTACAGAAATAGTGCAGATGGCATCAGCTATGCAGTGACGGCAAACCACCTTTGACAATCCCTCGTTTGCTGTGTGTATGCGTTGCTGCAAGGTGAAGGCGGCAAGGGGAGAAAGAATCGCAGAAGAGAAACTGCGCCATCCACAGAAAAGAAACAGAAGGAATGAAGTAGGAGAAAGCGCAAAAATGAGGATCGGAGTACTCTCAAGCAGGAATGGGTACACGATACAAAAATTCATCGTCGGTTTTATGGACGCAAACAGCTGCTGCAAGTAGCCAGTGCCATGTCTACTGTCTCTCCAAGATAGAATCCTGGTTTTACTCACAAAAAAGAAAAAGAACACAAATGTTCCTGAAGAGCAACAATTGTCTTCAACCTACCCACTGTCTCTTGCAAGCTGTGTTAGTTGCAGCAGGTTTCTTTCAAGGTTCAAGGTTTGGGGCCGATGTGTGCTCGAAAACGATCAGCAAATGCCGGACACCTCAGTTTTGGCGATTATCTGGAGGGAGCGGGCCAAAACAATCACGCAGTTAGGAGCGTCTATGAGCCAGAAAACGATGACGAGCTTATGCACGCATTCTTTGGCGACGTATACCAAACCCTTGGTTGTAGTTAAGAACTGTTCTCTTAGCTGACCCATTGAAAACGGAGCTCAGAATGCTGTAGTGGCGTTGTCGAAAGCCTTCTGCAGCTTCCCTTGCGTTTGGCTTTGCCCGCTTTGTTGTAGTGATTTGTAGCTCTCACATACCTATGCTTTAGTGGACCTCATCCCTTGTATACCGGAACATCTGTAAAGTGTGCCAGAAGTTCTGTTTCCTAAGCTGAGATGATTGTGTATCAATATCTTACTTAACATACATGAAGGTTCAGGTATTGGATATTTGGTTTCGCCAGATGATGCAGTGCATTTGTGGGTGGCAGGCCTCGCCGGCCCGTCACGTGGGCTGACGGCCGCCACCACTGGTCTTAGCCAGCCTCCACAGCCCTCTAGCTAGTCAGTTAGTTCTTCAACCAACAACACCACTTTTCCCATTCTGAGCGTTCTGTGCCGGTTCTCGCCCACAGGTTATAAGCCCAGCGTTATTCTTTCGGAATAACGTCGTTTTACCTATTATTCTACTCGTCTGTCAATTTTCTATTAATTCACGAATTTTTGCGATTTTATTCGCTTTATTTACCCTTTTATGCGATTTTCTCGCTTTCTTTCCTCTTCGCTAACGAATTTCACTTTTTGACGCGATATTGGCTGCCTAGCGCGCACGAATATCACATAGCACGCGACCGACTACTATAACCTACTAGTTTTTATAAATACTACGGAATTCTATTATAATAATAGACTTTTTAGTTATAACTATACTATAACTATAACTTTTACTTTAATTCCTTATTTTTATAAGAATTTAACTATTTTAGCTTTAGTTTTTTAAACTAGCTTATTAGTTTCTTATATCTTCTATAAGTATTTATTCTTCCTTTCGATTTACTATATTTCTACGGTCGGATCTTATAATTCTACTTATTTCTTATATTCTTATATAAGATTCTCCCTCCTATATAATATTTATACTTCTTTAGTACTATTTACTTATTAATACTTTCCCTTTCTAATAGTATACGTAGGTAGTAGCGAAAGTAAGCTATCTAACGTATAGATACGCTTCTAAAGCTATAGCCTTAGAGAAACGCTTATAATCAAGGTACGACTATAAGTCTATCCCGTACTATTATAATACCCTTACTTTTAAGATGTCTTAAAACGACTTTAAGACCGTCTTTACGCTTCTTCCTTGCTTAAAAGGTAAATCTAACTAGAATATATAGCGTATGCTTATTATAGCGACCTTGCAAGGATACGACTTCGAGATATTCCTCGAGACTAACGTCCCTCGCCTTGCTAACCTTATCGCTATAGAGGAATAGAGAAAGAAACCGTAACGTTACGTATAGTCTCCTTATAAACGCTAGCGAATCGGTTCTCGATAGACTCTATATAGCGGGTTAGATTAACGATAGAAACCCTTACGAATTATAGCAGGCGCTTAAGAAGTATATTCCGAGAATCTTATAAGACGCTATAGCTACCTTTGTTAACAAGTTTACTAAGACTACTACTAACAATTATAAGACTCTTTACGATACCCTTAATCGCTATTACTACCTTAGAAAGCGTATTAAGACTATTTATAGTCGTCTGCTAGACTCCTTCCTTACTATTTTCCTCCTTAACTTCTTTAAAAACCGACTTCCCGATACGTATAAGTATTTTATATCGAAAGGCGCTACCTATCCTACGTAGAATAAGGTAGCTAATACGATTTACATACTTACCTAAGACGAGGATCAAAAGCGTAGTTATGCTACTATTCGTAATATACCTAGAGGCAAGTCTGCTAGCAGTAGGGGTCTTGCCTTTCTAGCCGTTACTACTACCGTTACCTCTACTATTACTACCTCTAAGGAAAAGAAGAAGTACGACTACTATAACTATAATTACGAGACTACGAAGTACTATGTCGCCTACCTTAATCTTATCCCTCTATACTACGTTAACCGGGATAAGTTAATTAAAAAAGTAAGAAAGTATATATATAGCGATCGCTACCGCTAGGATCAGCCTACTTCTATTAATAATACCTACTAGACTATTATCAAAGCGTTACCTACTATCTTAGGTTAGTCTGCCCTTGCTTCTATTACTAGCCTAGTAGTTTTTACTACTACCTACGATAACCTTATTACCTAAGACGATATCGTTCTCGATTCTAGTTATACTATTTTAACTTTTAATAACTTACGATATTTCGTTAAGTACGCTAAAAAAAGCGATTTAATACCTTCTACTTCTGCTTCCGGCGCCTTAGTCTAGTTACTTAGCATAGGTACCGTCTTCTTCTAAACCTAAGACCCTACTAACCCTGACGTTATTTACGATTAGATACTTTATAACGTTAAGTATAACCCTTCTAGCCTAGCTAACTTACTAAGCCTTAGAAAACTTCGTCGTAATTACGTAGAATATAATTAGCAAACCTTAAGCCTTATATACGTAACATAGCATACTTCCCTTACTAAAGTTTATTAGGTTTCTAACGTCTATATCGTTAAGACTTATAATACTAGAAATTATATGCCTCGAGATATTACTATCAGCCTCGCCGCCTTCTAGGCTACCTAGCGACCGTCTCTTAAACTAATATACCGCCGGCTAGTTTACGCCTACCTATTACGTATTATAAAGGCTTGCCGCCGTATTAGTATTCGGTTTATAATATTAGAAATTAACGCTTTCTTCTATAAGTCTTGCTATCTTAGTAAATCTACTAAACGGATTAGTCGAGACTAACTACTTCTACTTATAAGTATTAGTAATGAAATTTACCTTGATCTCGTTAGTATTCTTCCCTTATTAATAAAAGGGAACCGTTAGGTTTTATACCTTATAGATAAGTATAGTAGTTACTACTAGGTTGTTTTTCTACCTAACTATAAGTTTGCTACTATCTTAATAGCTATTAAGAAATAAGATACTAAATTCTATAGTCTTACTAGCCTTAAGCCTAAGGTTTAGGTTTCTAATAATACTCCCGAGCTAATCAAGGTTTTTAATAACCCCTACTTCGAAGGTACTTACTATAATACGACTATTACTTATACGCCTTTTATAAACGGTATTATTAAGTGTTGGAACGGTAGGTAGGAATCTCGTAGATAGTACGATATCCTTATAACAGGGTATTAGAGTAAGGGAACTTGTACTTATGAAGTAGGGCTTTAATAGTAAAGAATGTATAGGCTTATATTGAAGCTGAGTTGGTTGAGGAACTAATAGCTAGCTAAGGGAGAGAATTAGGCTAGTTATATAGTAGTATAACGTCGCCTATAATAGCTAATATAGGAAGCTATAAGCTAGGTTTAGTATACGTAAGTATATACGTCAACTAGCTTATAAAGCAGCTTATAAATCAGACTAGAATCTTCTTTAACTAAATAGACTTTTAGATAAGGTTAAAGAGAGTATTCCATAGGGATCTGAATGTCATATGTTTAAACTAGCAAGCAGCCATTCTTAGCTAGTTACTTTTGTAAGTCCTACTAAGTCTTAGATAAGACTAAATAGGATAAATAAGTAAAATAGAAGTATAATATACTTATACTTCTAACAAGAATGCCCCCCCTACCCTCAACGTTTGAGACTCTCATCACTACTACTAAGTAGTTCCCATTGACTCCTCGTCCTACGGATGCTTGCCTGTAATCTTCTTCCATTCGAACGAAGGCCAGTTGATCGGCCAGTACTAAGAGTAGTTACTTGGCTTCGTGTCTGCCGCTGGGAAGAGGTTGGCGCCTGGCTACTGGCTGTCTCTTGTGTAAGCCTTGCTAAGGTGGTCCTATTACGGCTTCCTGGTGGTCTGCCACGCCTGCGCCCTGCTGCTAATTGGCTAGGTTGTTGACTTTGTAGTTGGCTGTGTGATTGTCTAGCTAGCTGGTTGCTTGATTGGGTGCTATCCCTTAATGATAGGGATGATGGGACTGGCTGCATTGAGTTCTTAGGTCTGCCACGGAGGTTTCCTACAATCTTCGGATCAAGAATCCGTCGATATAGATCCTGGGAAGAAGACTCCCGCAGCCGCCATCGTGGGTGAACCTCATCCTTCATAAACTGTACCCCATCTACAAGTTTAGAGTAGATCTTATGGCAGCATGGGATACCATACTCTATAGAGACAGTACAGTCCTCTGTGCAGTCTCTAAGAGGCGCTGGAAATGGATTTCTACCTGTTGGTAGAGCCTTCTTTGCCAGACGGTATTGCTTCGTAATCAAACCAAGACACTGCGATGAGAGTATTGTTCGAAGCTCCCCAAGGTACTCAGATCTGTTCCCTATAAACTCACGGCTTGTGAGGATCTCATCCTGTGCACAAGCTTGCTTGAAGCGAACCTCTTGATCCTTAAGCATATCCTGCATCACATTAACTAAGTGATATAGGTGGCTAAGTCCATTAAGAAGATAGCCCTTGATGTTGTTGTTGCTTGATTCCGTCCCTGAGGTTACACGGATGCCGAAGTTTCGGTACTGGCGAATAGAATAACGTGCCCACTGCTCCCTTAGTGGTAGATATATTCCATGCAGGTAGTTCAGAATAGGCCGTTGGTCCTTAAACTCTTTGCAAAGGTTTGCCCATGCTTTCCTAAAGGCATCCTCTGTCTTAGCAAATAGAACTAACTTCTACATTATAAGAACCCCCCGGTAGCTATGTGGCGTAGCCCCATCTACTAAAGTATGGATATAGGCATGGTCCTCATCGCTAAGTTCGGTAACTGGTTGTGGAGCTAGATCGTCTTCTTCAGACCCACTACTACTAGAATAGCTCTGAAGCCACTTCTGCTTGGCTTTAAGCATAACGTTTGAGTTGATATGGTGAATACAAAGCTGTTGTTGCACATTCGGAAAGTATTCGTTAAGAGCTGCCTTCATCTGTCTGTCGTAGTCGGTGATAATAACATCTGGTTGGCGAATAGAGTTCTGATTAATGAGTTGTAAGATACTCTGCGATAAGAACTGGAACCCCTCTAGTCTCTCATTATCGATGAGACCAAATGCTGCATTGAATACCGATCCAAGACATGTTTGCCCTGTAGCTTGGAAGAGTGGAAGCTTGAAGCGATTGGTGTTATAGGTGTTGTCAAAGCCGATAACCTCGGGGAACCGCTTCCACATCCGGAGAGAGTATGGAAACGTCCAGACAAGCCCAACAAGCCGATTCGGCTCATCATCCGCCCACTTCACAATATAAGGGATCTCCCGCTCATCAAAAAGCTTGATTAGAGCTGCAGTTGGTGTATACCCATTAAGCTTTTCGCGATTGATTCGGGCTTTAGCGTTATAGATATCCCGCTGGGTGAAAACAGATTCAGGAAACTGCTCCTGAATAATAGCACCTACGTCGCGTGCCCGAATACCAACCCGCCGACTAGTAGTCTCAACTGCATCCTTAATAGGCTTAGTCAACCTCCTATAGGCTGGGTGTGTAGATGATGCTAAGCTAGGGATATGATTATGCTGGCTGTGTATTGGGTTGGAATGCTGACGTAAAAGCCATTTCCCCTCCTCTATTGCTTCAGCAATAATTTGCCATTGGCAATCACACTTCCGAGATGCGCGGGCTCGGATGCCAGCACCTCTACCTCGCTTTGGTAGCCCAAATCGATCGCAACGAAGTATATAGCGAATTATACGTCCTTTACGATAGCATCTATTATACTTTGCAATCCCAAATCCATGCTCTTTTGCAAATTTATTAACTCAGTCGAGGAGGGTTTCAATTGTTGCTTCTGGTTCGCTAGGGATCGGTAGGTTTGGAATAGTTTCGGGGGTAGGTGATTTCGACCTTTCGCTTGTAGTAAGGAATAAAGTACTTGGAGAAGATGGTATCGCTATTACTTCTAGGCTTTGTCGGGGAGGTGAATAAGGTGGAGGAGGAGGAGACTCGCCGATTGAGGATATGTCTGAAGGGTGTGGTGAGTAGCCCCAAGCCTCACGATATCGACGAACGCGTTCACATTGTTGGAGGAGAGCACGCGTAAGACGTCGGTTTGTCCCAACAACCTCTTGAATGAGGCTTAGAACAGTAGAGAACTGATCTGAAGTGGGTTGTAAGGGTTGATTTTCAGGTTGTAATACTAATTGGCTTTCTTTTGGTTGACGTTCAGGTAAAATTGTACGCTGCATACGTATTGTCCCCTTTGGAAAGGAACATAGAAGATATAATTCATCTCCCTGGGGGTTGTAGCTTGTGTCGGAATCTTGCTGTAATTGTTCAGGTGGAATCTCAGAGATTAGGTCAGGTTGACCCTCACGATCGCCAGCCCTATAGAATTGACTGATAGTAGCATTACTACTAACTGAGATAGCACGGCGTTGGCGCTTGGGAGAAGGCAATTGATTGTATATACTAGAGCTGCTGGGTCGGCGACGCGATTGGGGCCTTGATTGACTTGTAGAGGTAGACATCTTGACGTTGTAAAGGAGAATAAATTGAATATGTCTAATGCGCTTTCGTAGTTATGAAGGGATGGGCTAAGAAGATAAGAAAGATACTTCATTAGATGATGGCAGAATTCGGATGCACTAACAATAAAATTTTGAGCCAATCACAACCTTAGAATGTGATGCGTCCCTAAGGATGATGCGTCCCTATCAATTCGTGATGCGTCCCTATCAATTCCCTAAATTATATAGGAGGTTTATACTACGAAAAGCATCGAACTCCGACTTATCAAAAGCGTTAATATAGCTGCCGATAGACTTACGAAGCTACTAGTTACGGTTAAACATAAGGAATTCGTTCGTTTGTTAAGCATAGCGGAGGGATTAGATTAAGAGGGGGATTTTAAGACTATAAGACTATTGATATTAAGACTTCGGGATTCGGAGGATTTCACAGCCTCCTATTAGCTAGGTTTAACCGGTAATTAACCGAGTTTTCTAATAGTTGAGAACTCCTCGGATTTAGAGGATTTGGGATTTTTCCTGTATTTCCTATTATTCTACTGCTTTTTCGCTGAGGAGTGATTGATTGATTGATTGATTCCTACACGGTTATGAAGCCGCTCTTATGCTAGCAGCTATGCCCGGAAAGCGGGGTTTGGCAGACAGCCGAAGCATCGACGATAAACCGCGACGCCCCACTTCGCCCTGTTGTTGGATCAGGACCAGCTGTCCCCAAGCTCCCACTATGCTATCTATTCTTGTGTGTTTATGCCCTCTGTTGAAGATTGTTGTCCTCCTGCCTGCTCTCTCGCTTGGTGTTGCCTTCTAGAATCCTTCTTTCGCGTCCTCCTACTTCGGTTCTGTTGGTGCTAGGCACCATGTCTGGTTCTGTATACCTATAGTCTCCCCCCAGCCCTCAGCTTCGTCTCTTTATCTTGTCCGCATCCTCTCAGACTCGCATGTGCTATATCTCAGTTGAATCTGTAAATCTTTTTGTTGCCTCATGCTGGGTTCCTATGTGGCTCTATGTTTCCATCTTTCGACCACCACCTCCATCCACCGCCTGGAGTCGGACTCAATCCGCAAAACACAATGCTCCAACCGCTTCGATTCGTCCGATTACTAAGTATGAGAGCTCGTACACAGATTCCGCAGACATTGTCATACGTTGAAGGGGCGACAATCCTTCTTCGCGGAGGGGGCGACAGGGGACCAATCTGTCTGCAAACTGTAGTATTTTGTGGCATCGATCGTAGCATGCCTGGTGTCTGGTGCTTTCTCTATGCAGGAGGTGATACCGTTCTGTCGGGCTTGTCGTCGTTGTTGTCGCGGGACGTTGCAAACTTTGTCGGGGGTGATAGGCGACCCATAACCTATCGGTGGCTGTGGTGTTGATGTTTGTTTGGGCTTGGTCGTTGTGCTCACGTGATAGCCCGTGACTCAACCGCGGTGGTGTCGATGGTGTTGTCTATTGACGTGTCATACTTTGTGGCTTGCTCTCGAATTTTTCGTGGTCAGAGCCCGCCCGCGGCCACGAGCAGGCTCTTTGGGAGCAGAATCAATGCCGAGGATGACATTATGCCCAAAGTGACCTCTGAGAGCGCGAGCGGGCGTGGTTTGATCAATTTGATGCTGTTTTCAAAAATTTCGTTCTCGCTGTTGTTGATGTTTTTTTTTCGCTGAGGAGTCTGAGAGGGGGTGTGGGTGGCAGGCCTCGCCGGCCCGTCACGTGGGCTGACGGCCGCCACCACTGGTCTTAGCCAGCCTCCACAGCCCTCTAGCTAGTTAGTTAGTTCTTCAACCAACAACACCACTTTTCCCATTCTGAGCGTTCTGTGCCGGTTCTCGCCCACAGCATTCTTCCCTCATTGACAACACCTCCCGGAACACCCTTGCTTAAGTGCAGGTCACCGTGAGTGGTTTTGAACTTTATGCTCCAATCCCTCTTGCACTTATCCCTGCCTTAACTCTAGTAGACAGGGGTATGCGGATTGTATAAAACTCAAGCTTGGGGCCCGCATGTACTGGTACACTTGGTATCGTTTGAACTCTTTGCCGCCAAATTGGTTGCAAGCCTCCTATTAAAACAGTCTTGCCGGCCTCCTGCATAACGTCACCCACCTTACATTTTTCGTTTGCTGCATCGTTGGAAACAGTTTACGCCAATCAAGCATTGGAGTCCTGTTGGTCACGGGTGATTGTTCACATCTGAGCTTCGCTCTCCGTTGGCGGAAAGGTGGTCATATAGCCTCCCCATAGGACTGGAGTTTTTTCCTTTTTCTGTCATTCAATCACGCTCAAATTCCCTCCCAGACAACACTCCAACCTTCTCTGGGTTGACAAATCTTCTTGTTGAGCTTTCAATACCGAGATGGCGGATTCCGAAAGAGGAGGCCGGGGCCGGGGCCGGGGCCGAGGTCGAGGTGTGGACCACGGTCGGGGCGATGGTGGCCGGGGCGGACGCGGCGGTCGTGGCGGTCGTGGCGGCTTCCAACCCCCTGGTGGTGAAGGTGATGGTTCCACCCACGGAGGACAGAGCCGCGGCGGTGGCTTTAGAGGAGCCCCAGGTGGGCGTGGAGGCAGATGTGGTTTTGACCGCGGCCGTGGTGACTTTAGAGGAGGCCGCGGTGGTAGTCGACCTCCGCCATTTGCAGGTGAAGCTCACACGTTCTACGGGCAAGTATATCTTCTCTATTCTAATGCCTAGAGTCATCTAACATCTTTTAGACAAAACTCCACTATTCCTACCCCCGATAATGCCATTACTCAGCTAGAGGACAGGATCATCAAGGGCCACCAGTCCAAAGACATGGCCCTAGTCAAGAAGATGAGTAGCATGAAGCTTACCGAAGCTAGCATCGCCGCTCTGATGCCTCGTCGTCCTGCTTATGGGACCAAGGGAAAGCCAGTCATTCTCTGGGCCAACTATTTCCGGTTGACCGTCAAGCCTAAGGTCATCTTCCGCTACAACCTCGAAGTTCGTAAGGGTGAGAAGGAGGACCGTCCCGAGAAGGATCCCAAGGGCAAAGGAAAAGCCAAAAATAGTGCCCAGGGAGGTTCTGGCGTCGGCGGCGGCAGCGCTCCTGCTTCTATTCCTGCTCGCAAGTTGAAAATCATCCTGGAAGAGGCTCTCAAGGAGCTCGAGAAGCTCGAACCCAATGCGATTCTCGCTACCGAGTTCAAGTCTCAGCTTGTCTCGCTCAACAGACTGAAACTCGATAAAAACCCCATCATTGTCAAGTTCAAACAGGAGAACTCCACTCGGGAAGACATCTATAATGTCAAGATCGTTGGTGAGACTGAGGCCCCCTTAGAGGCTATGGCACAATACCTCCAGACTATGATCGATACGAGTGACCCTGACGAAGAGCACTTCCCCCGATTTGCAACATCAGTGGATGCGCTTGGTGTCGTCCTTGGCTTTACCCCACGGCTGAACAATCAGGTGACTGCTATTGGCAAGGGCCGATTCTTCCCATGGGGTAACGGAGCCGCCATGGAGCAGCTTGGTGAGCAAGACCCTCTTGCGGCCATTCGCGGCTATTTTCAGAGTGTCAGGCCCGGTACTGGCAGAGTTCTACTGAATGTCAACGTTACCCACGGCGTCTTCAAGTTTCCCGTGAAAGTCAGCGAGCTCTGTCGATGGTTTCGCGTCAACGTCTTCGGTACGGGCAATCCAGGCGCTGTAGCCGGGGCTCGAGGAAACCTTCGCACCTTGTCCAAGTTCCTTGCTAGGACTCGTGTCACTGTCGAGTTCAAAGACTCAAAGGGCAACAAAATAGTTGGCAAAAAGTCGATACACAGTCTTGCCTGTGTGCACGACATCTCGCGACCCCCAATGGGCACTGATGTGTCTTTCGCTCCGAATTTCCAGTTCGGCGGTCCTCGGGAAGTCAGTTTCAGAATGCAGCCTGCTGAGGGACAGACAACTGTGATGGGGAACATGAAACCTGGCGTTTACACTGTTGAACAATACTGGCAGTGGAAGTATGGCGAGGTCCCAGACAAGACCATGCCTCTAGTCAACCTCGGCACTAGTGCCAAGCCTACGTTCTACCCTGCTGAACGCTGCACCATCATTGCAGGCCAAGCCGTTCGCTCCAAACTTACTGGCGACGAGACAACCCGGATGCTCGATTTTGCTTGTCGTTCGCCGTTCGCCAATGCAATGTCCCTCACCGTGGACAGCGCGACGGCTCTGGGCTTCGACGAGCCCATCCTAGACAAATTCGGCCTCGCAGTTGACAAAAAGCTCCTGACTGTGAATGGCCGTGAGCTACTGTCACCTTCTGTCACTTACGGAAATGCCAGAACTCTACAGACACGCGGCGGCTCTTGGAACATGAGCGGTGTGAAGGTTGCAAAGGCGGGTCCAAAAATTACATCTTGGAACTGGGTGCGTATCATCGAGGGATCTGCCGACTATCAACCCAAGATCACGACCGCAGAAGTTGGCAATTCCGTGCAGCAATTTGTAGAGTTTCTCAACACCAGCGGTGTGGCGATCGATCCGCAGATACCGAACACCCCTCACGAGATCAGGGTGCAGCGCGGCAGCCACACCGAGGACATTGGGCGGGCCTTCCAAGGTATCAAAGATTACCTCGAGCGCACCCGCGGTATCACCAAGAACTTTTTCCTCCTTGTAATCCTGCCAAAGCAGGATACATCTCTCTATGGCGCCGTCAAGACTCTTGCTGATACGGTTTTCGGCTTCCACACCATCTGCTCTGTAGAGCGTACATTCGTCAAGAACAATCTACAGACATTCGCCAACATTGGCCTCAAGTGGAACTTGAAGAATGGAGGCGTCAACCACATGGTCAAAGATTCGCTCGATATTATCCAGTCCGGAGAGACCATGGTCGTTGGCTACGATGTTACCCATCCCACGAACATGCCTAACGACAAGAATGCCGCGCCGAGTCTGGTAGGCCTCGTATCCAGCGTTGACAAAGATTTGGGACAGTGGCCTGCTATTGCGTGGGAACAGGGAAGCCGTCAGGAGATGTTGGGCGAGGAATTGGTTGAGCACTTCAAATCCCGATTAGTGCTCTGGCGCAACCGAAACACGGGCAAGCTACCAAAATTCATCGTCATTTATCGTGATGGCGTCTCAGAGGGACAGTTTACCCAGGTACTCACCGCTGAGCTGCCCATGATTCGGAAGGCATGCTCTCAACTTTACCCAGCCAACCAACGCCCCAAGATTTCCATCATCGTGTCTGTCAAGCGCCATCAAACGCGCTTCTACCCTACGTCGGACCAAAACATGGATCAGAAGTCGCGCAACATCAAAAACGGCACGGTTGTTGACCGCGGCGTCACTCAGGCTCGCTACTGGGACTTTTTCCTAACCGCCCACACAGCGCTCAAGGGAACTGCCCGCCCTGCACACTACACCGTACTAATGGACGAAATCTTCCGAGACAAGTACGGTGTTGGCGCCAAAGCTGCCGATCAGCTTGAGAAGCTCACCCATGATCTCTGCTACCTGTTCGGGCGTGCTACCAAGGCCGTCAGCATCTGTCCGCCGGCATATTACGCAGATATTGTCTGCGAAAGGGCCCGCGTGCATCGCCCAGACCTCTTCGATGTGTCCGACACGGCGTCTACTGCCACAGGTGGTAATAACCCGGCCAATGTGGCCATAAACACCGCAAACCAGGTACACGTGAACTTGCGAGATACTATGTACTACATCTAAGTGGTGGATCATGTACGTTGGTGGCCGCCAGGACTGAATAGGGATTGGACAGTGATTGGAACAGCGATTGAGATAGCGGTTGGTAACTGAGTTTAAAAGGAGCGACTGAAAACAGTACTTGGAAGGCGCATGATCTGAGAGAATATGTTATTGAAAGCAGTTTGATTTGGTAGTTTGAAAAGACTTTAAAAGTCAACAAATACACTAGATGTTTGAGATTATGGCATCAGCCACATGGTATACATAATGTCGGCATCTTCTGCCGGGGGCACAGTGCTGTGGCCCTTGTCAGGCCCCAAGCAATTCCATTGGCTTCACATTGACGTCAGTGGGGGGTTAAGGAAGAGGGGCAGTTGGAGGGCCGAGTTACCGCATGAGAAATGAGCAGACCTACTACGGCGGGGTATGAGCTGTTGCCGTGCTGACAAAATAGAAGCGATGAGGCACTGGAGCTTGTAGGAAGTTCGTCATGTACTTTTTTATCTCCGAAAAAGCCCCATCTTTGAAGCTTCGATCCCCGAACTTGTTGCCAGCTGCATCTCACAAACTGCACCACATCAACTAGCTTCTATGAACTCTCTCCGAGCTCTGCAGAGAATTAAGCTTATTCAGAACAACATCATCGCCAAACCCGCTGGTAAGAAGCTCACACCGACCTTATTGAAGCTATGCCGAGGTCCAACATTTGTATTGACACTTTATGTCGCGCCCAGGACGAATCAGTCAGTTCGCGACCATGGCAGCCACCACGGATGTGAAGAACTACAAGTTCAATCACTCGATGTATGCACTCTAATTAAAGCCTTGCACTTCATGATGCTCACAAAGTCTCAGGATTCGAGTGAAGGACCCCAAGGCCTCAGGTATGTATTCATGTTTCCATGCCATTCTTCATCTGTCATGCTAACTTGCTTATGAAGTCAAGTTCTACGAGACGCTTGGTATGAGTGTTATCAAGCAGATCAAGCAGCCCGAGGCCAAGTTTGACCTGTACTTCCTGGCCTACGACTCGCCCAAGGCTGCGTCCGCGGGTAACAGCACTTTTGATCGTGAGGGCATCATTGAGTTGACGCACAACTACGGCACTGAAAACGATCCCGAGTACAAGATCAACAACGGCAACACCGAGCCCCACCGCGGTTTCGGTCACACGTGCATCAGCGTCGACAACATCCAAGCTGCGTGCCAGCGTCTCGAGGATGCGGGCTACAGCTTCAAGAAGAAGCTGTCGGATGGAAAGATGCGTCACATCGCGTTTGTCCTTGACCCCGACAACTACTGGGTTGAAATTATCGGCCAGAAACCGATTGAGGAGACGGAGAGCATCAAGGAGACTGACGTTGCCACCTACAGAATGGTACGGCTTTCTGGGCCTGATTCAAACAACCGGGAAAAGCTAACGGCCGACAGAACCACACCATGCTCCGCGTCAAGGACCCCGAAAAGTCGCTCAAGTTCTACCAGGAAGTTCTGGGCATGTCACTCATCCGCAAGAACGAGGCCAGCGACTTCACGCTCTTCTTCTTGGCCTACGGCGGCCTCAAGGAGGGCGAGAGCCAGGCGCAGCGCGAGGGTATCCTCGAACTCACCTGGAACCACGGCACAGAGAAGGACGAGACCTTCAGCTACCACAACGGCAACGACCAGCCACAGGGTTTTGGTCACATCTGTAAGTCGCATTAGAAAGAGCAAGATTGCGCGGAGTAAAAGCTAACGTTCATGGCAGGCGTCACTGTCGATGATATCGACGCGGCTTGCGCGCGATTCGAGGACTTGAAGTGCAACTGGAAGAAGCGTCTCACCGATGGCCGCATGAAAAATGTTGCCTTCCTCCTGGACCCTGACAACTACTGGGTTGAGGTTGTTCAGAACGAGAAGTTTGCCGGCAAGGATAACTTCTAGACGCTTTCTAAGACCTTATGAGTGAATCAAAAGTGATGTTTGGGGTTGTGATCTGGGGAGTGTGGAGTGGCGTTCAGTGAAAGACAACGGGAAGGTGGTTGAGCGATTGCATGGGCGAGGCGTACGAACGGTTGGAGATGTTGTCTTCTGAAGCTATCTTAGGCAGTAGAGGCGAGCTCATTGGTGGAAACAGATACCTGAAAAGCATTCAAATCCGCAAGAAAATCAAATCATTCAAGATCCTGTCTCTACTATGTAGTCGTATTGGTAAGATCAAGGGGCGAAGTGATGAGAATGCTTAGTGAGATTCACATAGCGGTGTTTCCTCGGATAACCTTGGTCGCTGTGGAATCATGATGGAATCTGAGCATTGATTCCATACTGTGGCGTCACAGGGTACTGTGGCGGGGCCAACCCCCGCCAAAATCGTTGACGCAACACCACCCTCACGCCCTCCGAGGTGGCCACGGGCCCTGTAAATATCCTGTCTCAGCGGTCCGATTTGTCACTGCCCCCTCACTGGAACAACTTCAGACGGGGACAACTTCACATATTAAAGCCTCACAGACCCCACCCAATTCATCCGTCTACTATCGGTTATCAATCTCAAACCGTCGTTGGCCTCACCGAATACTAAACACCGGTGAACAGTATCATTATTCAGTGAGAGCGAGGGAACAGCTACCAATGCGATTCTCACCTTTCATCTCTACCGTCCTTTACACCTTTTCAAACCTCACACGCGTCCGCGCACCAAAGTTTGCTGCTTTCCCAGCGCAACACCCACTAGTCACACGTCCGCTGCGTGCTTCTATGCCAACGATCCCATTCTTCGGAGCTCTGTTTGGGTCTTCCTCGTCCTCACAAGACAAGATGTCTTATCCCGACAAGCGATCCGACGATGAGTGGCGGGCTGTTCTGAACAAGGGTACGTTGCTGTTTACTTCAGTCGTCCCTTTTCATCGCTTTTTGGATTTTCATTGTGATTTGAGATTCGATGGCGACTGAACCTTCACCATTCTACTTGGTTTTACTTCCAGTGGCGAATGGAAGTTGAGCATGTGTGATGATGACGCTGACAAACATCACAGACCAATTCCGCATCCTTCGTGAGAAGGGCACTGAACCCCCCCACACCGGCAAGTATGACAAGCACTACCCGTCCGAAGGCGTCTACGCCTGCGCGGGCTGCGAGGCTCCCCTCTACAAGGCGAACCACAAGTTTAAGTCCGGCTGTGGATGGCCGGCCTACTTTGATTCCATCCCGGGTGCCGTCGTTCGCCACGAGGACAGGACGCTTGGTATGCTTCGCACCGAGATCGTCTGCTCCAACTGTGGCGGTCACTTGGGACACGTCTTCAAGGGCGAGGGCTACGATACGCCTACGGACGAGAGGCACTGCGTGAACAGTGTGAGTCTGACCTTCTCACCTGACGAGAAGGTGGAGGGTGCCGGCCAGAATGCTGCGAAGGAGAGCAAGGCTTGAGCACTAAAAAAGATTTTCGGATTTTGAGACAGAGACATTTGGAGGAGAGCAATGGCGTTTGAAGGTATGATGTGTCGGGTGTGATGTTGAAGTTTTGGTGTTCAGTGAAGGTGTAACATGAGAGAAGCATGAGGCGAGATAAGATCATGAGAGATGAGAAAGCGGCGGTGTTGTACCAACAGAATAGAAATCTTTAATTTCTGCCCAAGATATATGCTACTTTTCAGCTTTTTCGGGACACGCCTGCGCACGATGTTGGAGTTGGATGGCGAGCGTGAAAATGTGATTCTCAAATTCGAGACCAGCAAAGTCCATCTCCTTACGCCCAAACATTAGCCAATGCTAAAACTTCAAACTGCTCACGAGCTTACATATCGATGTACTGTGGCAGAATCGAGAACCTTTATTGGTTTGGGCCATCTATTCCTTGAAGTTAAAGTCCATCTCCGACACCCATAACCCTCCCCGGTGATACTATCTCCGTTGAGTACCAATTTCAATAGACATTCATGAGTGATTCACAGTCTCTCTTCCAGTTCCAAATCAACTCGGGCAAAACACTGAATCTGTGAAATCAAATCCTGTAACTTCAAAAAGCGTCTTGCTTCAACCCAACACCTTGGTCAGACTCATACACACCGCGATCACAGCTTATTAAGCGCCAAAACATACAGTCTACGCAGTCCGTCGCAATGGAATCCAACAAAAAATCCATCCAGGCAGAATCTGCTTTGCCCGAAACCCCGTCTACCTCGGTAAGCCATCAATGGGCCCCAATGCTGCGCAAGCGTGGTTGCCCCATCGATGACTCTGCCCCCGAATCCTACATCGAATTTGGCCCAGTTACCAAGCATCGCAAGACTGAATGCCGTGAATCCCGACAAAAAGATACAACTAAGCCAAAGACAAAAGATAATCAACAACCGTCTGAAATTAAGTCCGTCCAAGGCTCTTCCGCCGAACAGGGCCTGGAAGACGAGGTCGACAATCTTCCCGCCGTAGATGATGCATTAAATGCAAAGTTAGCGGGGAGAAACTACCGAACAGATTCCGCCCCTTCCTATGCGACCTCGGAAGACGAGCGCAAAGACAAGAATTCCGGAGAGCCACCGGTCCCAGAGACAGAGCCTACTCAGAGCAAAATTACAACAACGGCTCCAGCAAACTTGAGCGTTGGAGAGCCCTTGCCAACGTATGGCGGCCATAATCTTCCGGTGTATACCTCTGAAAACCCGTGCCCAAAAATGAGGCTAGAAAAGAGTGCATCCGGGGTTTTCTGCCTCAAACCCAAGCGATTAGCAGGCTACAAGAATTCTAAGGGCAAGACGATAATACGAATTTTCACGCCTCCTCCACACAGCGGCAGCACATCAGGAAGTGAACCAGCCGGGAGCGTTGATCTAGACTGCACTTCGAGAGCAAGCTCTGAAAGCTTTGAGCTCAACTTGACTGGGCAGATGGTTTAAGCCAAGGGATATACGAGGCATAGGAAAGACAGAGAGCTGGCACTTGACTAAGAGACGGAGTTAAGGGGGCTCTTGTACGTTTAGTGGAAATATACTTTATACTATCAATGACGCCCGTCAACTGTGCTCCGTCTGTTCCCCATTATGCCGAAGTGACCACCCATTGCAATCGTTACAATCAAGATGGTGCGCACTTCAATCTTTAGATTCCCGTTGCTGTTTTGCCTCCAACGAGACCCTATTTTAGCCTAGTTGTACATCCTGGTCAACTTCCCAAAAGGAATATCGCCCACAGCCGGTCCATAGCTTTTAACAGCGGCCAGATAAAAGTCATAGGTTGTCTGATACATGTCAAAAAACACCTGGTCATAATGTCTTTGTTGTTCAACCTCGGGGTATTTGCACCATTGTTGGTATTTTTCCTCGTTAGCAATCGTCACGTCTCTCATCAGCATCAGCTTCGCCACAAATAAATCTCCGTCACCAGGTTCGGGATACAGTTGATTTTTTTCATATGCATTTCCCTGGCTAATTTCTGACGTGGCTGGCTGTGAAGGATATGCCTCGTCCTCTGCGACCAAAGTGGCTTGTGTGGACTTTGAGGTACATTCCGTTGCCAGAAGTTGATCTCTATGCTCTAGAGATTCTAACAGCCGGTCCGAGGTAGATTCGACACAATCGTTATGAGTGGAGGTGCTGATTTGGCTGTCTGGATCGACGACCGCAGTTTCACGGCGGGCTGTGCTCGTGCCGAATTCGAAAGCTGGCTCCTCCCTAATATGGTCGAATCTGCCCCTATTGCCAGTTAAGGGGGACTTCTCTTTCTCTGCATTCTTGTTATCGTTCGGAAGAAAAGAATTCGATATCTTCCGCTGGAGCACCTGCGTTTCACGGTGGAATGGTAGGCTTGGAGGCGGAATTGGTGTGGTAGAGATGGGCTTCACAGGTACCTCATGGTTTTGTCTCTTGGAAATTGGTTTATCGGCTGTATCATCTTGTCGTCTCTTCGTGGTGCGCAAGACTATACGAGGTGGCTTACTATTGACCGGCGGGGTTTCAATGTCGATTTTATCGGCTCCTGCATTCGAACGGACATGTTTATCAGCCTGATTCTTATATCGAAGTGCCTCTTGCCTCGCGGATGCCGATCGGAATGGGAGGGTGCGAGGGGGAGGGGGCTCTTCTAATGGCCCAGCAGCTGAGTTAGGCCGTTGGGTGATTTGGTAATCCCCAGAGAAGAACCCAGAATTCTGTCGAGTAAAAGGCAAAGATGCGGGGGATATTTGCTGTTGTATGAAATGTTGATGCGGAGTGGACCGAGTAGGTTGTTCAGAAACGGTTTTATCAAATGTGTAAGAGTCGACTGCGCTTCTAGTTTCAAGAGATCCCGAAAACGCTTTCCGTGGCCTTTGTGTACCTCGAAAAGATGTCTGGGCATGGGAGGGCACGCGATGATGCCCAGTACTTTGACTGAAAGTCGAAGGTAGCCTGTCACTAATATACGTCATTTGCGGCATTGATACCCGACTGCCTTGTCGAGAATGTATTTGCCGGTCAGTAGACGCGAAGTCTCCGTGTAAAGAAGATGTTTGACTATAGGCAGAGGGAAATGGCTGGGGAGCAGGTGATGTCGAAAAATGGCTTGCCGACGATAGTTGAGACCGGGCCTGCCGCTGCTGTGGGTTTGCTATCCGTATCTTGTAACCAAGTTCCTCAAAAACCTGAATAACTTGGATATAGTCCGAACCCACTTTGAACCAAAGATGTATCGCTATCTCATTTTCTTTCTATACTGAAGTTAGCTTGCCCGCAATACCCAAAGGCATGGTAACACCAACTACCTCTTCCCATTTGATGATGACAAGATGGGTATCATCATCAACATACAAAAAATACCTCGTCTTCGGCCGAGACTCTCCATTCAAGCTTCCGAAGTTCAATTTCTAATTGGACGTCAGACAGAACATTTTCCCTACCAATGCTTTCGTCTCACTATAGAAGCTGTCTGTGTTGGCACGATAAGGACATTGTCTTTTTCTCGAGCAGTGTAGCTGGTCAATACGGCATGCCCAGACAGCAGTATCTCTCTCTTGAGGATTAAGTCACAACCTTTCTTGTCTGAAAGCAGAGACCGCTCAAGTCTTCGGAGATTTTTCTTGCGTACAAGAGCACGGTGTAAGCTAAATGTCCAACAATCCAGAGAGTTGGACGGCATTCTGATCAAAAAGGCGATCGGGTTTCCAGGTCGATGGAAAAGAAGTAGTTGACGAAGTGGAAATCTGCTCAAAAGAGCCGATTAGCTTCATACCGATTGTGTGAGGACCAATTGAACTGTTTCTGTGACTTGAAAGTTAATAGGTGAGTTTGTGCAGCAAAGTTGGTGAATGAACAAGTGAAGCTGATCAGATTATTATTCCGGCTCTGGGGTCTATTTGAAGAAAAGGCGCAGCCCACAGCGTGAGGAGGAAGTTGTAAAGGCAGATAGATGGTCGATACAATTTCCCATGCTCAACTGGAGGAAGAACCCTGGCAGCAATGGGTAAGCAGGGGTCATTCTCCAGCGGGCAATCACCTTGTGGGGGAAAGGTACAACCCAGATGTAACTAGTCCACTTTCGGCCAAGTGTATCTTCCAGCAGCTCTTACCTTATCAAGGAGAGCTCTGAATCACGTGAAGATAGGCGCAGGAGCGACAGGGGAATTTTCAACGTCCGTCTGTCGCGACGCAAAACACGGTTGGTTGATTGTCTCCGGCGCATCACCTCCGATCGCAAAGGGCTTTGAACCTGCGCAACAGCACACCAGAACCTCCCCGTTTCGTGTGCCGCCAATTCTTTGGCTTTCTACCCCAACATAAATATACAGTCAATTCCTGTGATTGAACCTCCGATATACGATCCAACCGCGTTCGCGACAAGCCTACCTGACACCGTACGGCTCACTGAGAGCCTAACTGCGAACTCGGCCTTTGTACAAAGCATCAACATTTCCCAATAGCCGGTCGGTAATTGTTACCTTTGGCTTCACAATCAATGCTAAGGGCTTTTGAACAGGTTGCAAAACCCAAACCCAACATGGCGCCGTCAAAGGAACCCGAGGGCGAGGTCGAGCTTCACGCCATCGACAGGACACCAGAGTACGAAGAGTTCATGAATAAGTTGAAGGCATATCACCAAGAGCGCGGTACAACTCTCGAAGCTGAACCTAAGGTTGGACCAGTCTATCTCGATCTGTACAAAACTTACAATCACATTGTTGAGAATGGCGGCTATGACAAGGTATCCGATGAGAAGCTGGCGTGGCGCCGGATGGCTGAGCAGCTCGGCATTCATTCCTCCAATGTGGCCTCAACTGCATTTTCTCTGAAGGAAAAATACTACAAGAATCTTGCTGCGTACGAGATAAAGTTCTTTCACGGCAAGGAGCCTCCACCAAAGGACATATTGGAGGACGTGTCAGCCAAGGGCGGAGGACTTTTGACGCGTACCAGAGAGAACTTCCGAGGCAAACGTGAGAGTGGTGCGGTTGGTGATTCTGCGGCAGCTTCTGGGGATGATGCCACTCCTTCAAGAGAGCGTCCGACCCCAGATGCCCCCCCTCCATCCAGTGTCAGAGCTTCTAGAGGTCTACGAGAGGCCCCACCCCAGAGAGTCATCTTCCAGCCGGACACCGGTCCGTCACGGCCTACCCGCCACCCATCTGGTCAGCAGCCGAGTCACACCGGTACGCCCACGTCCGCAAACCAGACTGGTGCCCATCATCCTCCTCCCCAACAAGTTCAGCATACTCCGGTTCCGCTTCCTCACCAACCACGCCCTGCTCCCAGAGGCCCTAGTAGCAGTTTCAACCCAACCAATGGAGAGAATACGTCAACAGCGATCGATATGTATATTCCGCGCTCTCTGCAGCAGCCACAACAGCAACAGGCACTGCCTATGCGCCCTATCGAAACCCCTAGTAACAACCCGACGGAATTTGCCCGACGCCGACAAGTGGCTCGTTCACTTCTCGAGCCGCCGCGTCGCATAGGACCCCATCCCGGAGGTAAGAAGAAATCCACAAAGCCATGCTTGGTCGTATGTTAACTTTTTCAGTTGGGTTTGAGGGTCCAAACATCTATATTCGCTGTCTCATGGCCTTGCGCTCCAACATCTTTGAAGAGCAGCAGTTTGCTCTGTACCACTTAGTCAAGATATCTTATGAACGCCACGATAAGTTCAAGTTCGAGGGATTCCCTGGACTTAGTGAAGGCCTGGTTGAAAAGGTATTGGAAGTCGGCAGCTACTTTTACGATATCAAGTGGAAGATATCTTGGATCTCCCACGTGGCTGCTGATAATATTGACACGCTCGACGGCAACGAAGGCACTGACGATATCCTGGAGCGCATCGACGGCCTTCAGACCAAGCATATTAACGAACTGATCGTTCCAGCGGATCTTGCTGATAAGATGGTCCTTATCAATGAAGCTGCCTTGACGCTGAGAAACATGTCTCTGCTCCGGGAGAACGCTGCACACCTGGCCGACTTCTTGCCAATCAAGGACCTGATCTGTATCGTTCTGAGCCTCCCCAAACATGAGTGGGTGGTTGAGTTGAAGCATGCGATGCTCGACATTGCCGAGTCTCTTACTCCCTACATGGAGATTGACTCTCGCGACCCGTTGTACAAGGTCCTAATGTGGCAGTTACGAGACTCTGATGATCGTGGCGTTATCCTTACATCTCTCCGCGCCCTGGGACGTATTTCGATGAACCTCGAGGCTACCAACAAGTTGGATAAGGTCCCCTCTGCAGTTCTGGTTAAGATTAGCGAACTGATGCTGCTTAACGACGACGAGCTCATGGACGCGTGTCTTGACTTCCTTTACCAGTACACTGCAGTGGTCAGCAATGTCGATAATCTCGTCAAGTCGCTCAACTGCGAGCACTTGGTACAACACCTGACCCGTCTTCTCTCTCATAATGCCAGACGTTACCAACATGAGACATCCTTGCGGCCCACGGCCAAGACGCCTCAGTCGGATGACCCCGCTGCCATGCCTGAAGACCTGCTACAAGACCTCCTCAAGCTGGAGGAGCCTGAGCGATGCAATCAGTGGGTCAAGTGTTTCTTCGAAGAGGACAAGGACTCGTTCGTGACACAGATCGCAGCTTGGCAGGCTTACCAGAATGCTTTCAAGGTCGCCCTCCAGAAGGCAGGCCAGCCGCTCATTACCCCCGCGGATTTCATAAGAAACAGCTGCTCTGTGTATAAGGGATCCAAGGCCGAGGTTTGGCATGGCTCGGGCGCTCCAGGTGAGATGCAACAAAAGTTTATTATACATGGCATCCGCTGCAGGGCCCAGCCCGTAGGCCTTGACGGCAAAGTCTTCCTTCGCTGTCTCTGGGACGCGGCGTCCGGTCGACCTAACGAAAAGTGTGGGCACTTCTTCGGAACGAAGCAGACTATGTGGAACCACGTTGTCTCCGCCCACCTCAAGTGGACTCGTAATGAAGCAGGTACATTCGACAACAGCGAGGAGGAGCTCAGGTGCCAATGGGCCGACTGCACCAAGTACCCGAAGCCGACTAAGATAAAGCGTGCCGAGATCAGCCATCACCTTCAGACTCACTGCTGCCAGATCTTCAATGGTATCGCTATCAATCAGAACAAGGCTGCTCCGGGATCTCGGCCCGGCGACACCATGGTCTTCCAGTACGAAGAGACACCCGCTATCCACGACGAGCAAAACCCTGCTGCTGGTCCTCAGGCTGCCGGAATTCCTCTTAGCGCGGTGCTTATCCTCCGCAACATCGCCCGCAACGTAGTCAAGACGCCTGCTCAGGAAGACCTTCTCAAACTGCACGAGCTTGGAGGCGAGGCCGGCGGTTGGAATGAGCGTCTCTTCCGGACTCTTCTCCCCCGCCTGTACGAAATCATGAGCGAGAATAAGATTCTGGTATGTTCCTTCTATTTTCACCACTCGAATAAACTAACTAACATTTGCACAGGCGCCCTACATCGTGTCCCTAATTCGCCTAGCCGAGTCAGAGAGAGACTTGTAGCACACTGATACGAGAGACTACCGTTTTTGCTTTTTTATTGGGCCGGCAAATACCCAGGCGTTGGAGATGGCGGCCTTAAACCTTTGCGATTGTGGGATTAGCAGGCGGGATAACCTTATTTGCTTTTTTTTTTCTCTTTCTAGTATCCTTATGCCATCTAGTAGATGTATGCTGATTTCCTTTCCGGCCTTCAAAACGTCAACGGCTGCAGGGCCCTATAACGTTGAAGAGCTGTGTAAGAAATCCTTGGGCGGTACGGACCATATGGGACCGGGGGGCTTACTTGGGAATTATGTGGATAATCAACGGGTTGAGACGGACAGGATGGATGGCACACATCTGGCAAACCAAAAATGTTTGCTCCTCGTGGTATTCGCTGCGGTGTAGACTAGCTAAATCAAAGTAAAAAAATAACCTAAGTAACAGAATGTGTGATGGAAAGAAGTAACCCGTTTGTACGCAACTCTTCAAAGCCTGTCTGTGTTCACTAGTAGTGAATGAACGATGTGGCAAGTATGGCCCGGCCTGGTGAGGACTACTGGCTGAAAGACACGCAAGGTTGGGCTCATCTTCACCTTCCGTCCTACCGGTAAGCCAATTGACGATGAGATACAAAGTCCCCTCCCTCAAGACTTTTTAAGGTTCGTCTTATATACTACTACCTCGTCGCCATAATTGACCCTCGGGCGGGCACGCGTATGATTGATGCGCCAGGGAAACTGAAAAGGCCCGGGCCGAACGGGGCGGAACAACCCCCCCCCCCCCCCCCCCCCCCCCCCACTGACTGGATCGTGATTTCCAGAAGGGATCGTCGTCGTCAATCATGGAGACCAGGTTGGCCCAAGCCACCCATCATTTCGATTTTCTGGTTTGAAGGCTTCGAAAGCTCTTAATTAACTGGGAATAGCCAATACACACTTGTCTGGCATGGATTTGCGGGAGTATCTAGATAGTGGTGGTGTGTGGTACTGCTCCGCAGAATAATGCAGTTAACAACAATCACAGAGCAATCAGTCTCGCAATAAGAGATTGGGTATAACTTCAAGCGCATGAAGTGACAATAAGAACATGTCCTGAATTCTATCCTGCGATCTGTCTGTATCTACCGGGAAACCCAGAGTCCAAGCCTGGTCTTTCTCTATCCTTTTGTGGACGTTGCCAAAGCCACGGCAAAGCCAAAAACCAGAAAGGAACACTGTTCAAGTCCGAATCCCCGATTCTTGATTCGTTCCAAACGACATCCCCGTTTTTGAGACTCCTATAACTGCCTTGCTTGCTTAAAAGTACCGTCGATGATAGTAAAAGCCAGAGTGATTAGGTGCCGTAAGACCCTTGGTGCTGGGGGGTATAGTCCCAAGTTTGTGCACTCGACGCAAAGAATGAAAATAACACAAGGAAATCGGCACGAAGTCGCGAGACGGCGCGACCAATATTTGAGGCGATAGTACTAAATCCACTGGTACCAAGTCTGCCCGAGCCAGATATACCGGGAGTGTGGATTAGTGAGGCCTCTTCATCACAAGGCAGCATAACGTCGGCCATAGCTGGCTACGAAATCCACCAACGATGGCTTTGTAGACTGGAAGCTGGAAACTTGCCATATTCGTGCGATGTCATCCCAGAAATGGTACTGGACTGACAAGCTCATGCACAAGCTTAGTAGCAAGTGTAACCTCCGTCAATGATGACGTTAGAACCAGTCATGAAGCTGGAGGCGTCACTAGCCAGGAAAACGCAGAGACCGTTGAGGTCGTCGACATTACCAAGACGGTCCTGGGGAGTGAGCGACTTCCAGATCTTCTTCTGGGCATCAAGGGCAGGGACACGGTTGAGGGCAGTGTCCATGTATCCGGGGGAGATACAGTTGACGCGGATGTTGTACTTGGCCCACTCAGCAGCAAGAGACTTGCCGAATTGGATAACGCCAGCCTTGGAGGCGTTGTAGCAAGACTGCTCCTGGGGATAGTTGACGATGCTACCAGACATGGAGGCGACCAGGATGATGGAGCCAGGCTTGCCAGCCTTCATCATGGCACGACCAACAGACTGGGACATCAGGAAGGAACCCGTCAGATTGATGTCGATGAGGCGACGGAACATGGCGGGGTCGTAGGTCTCGGCCTTGATGTTGGAGCTGCACAAAGACGTATGTTAGTGGGGCTGCTAAGCGAAATGGGGAATGTTGTGCATTTTATGCACACCACGATGTGGGGAATGACGTACTCGGCGATACCGGCAGAGTTGACAAGAACATCAGGAGCACCGTAGAGCTCAACAACGGAATCGACCGCAGCGTTAATGGCGGCACCGTCACGAACATCTACCTTAAAGAAGGTAACGGGCAAGCCAGTCTTCTGGTGCAGCTCTGCAGCAGCTTCATCTCCCAACTCCTGGTTGGCGTCAAAAATGACAAGAGCTTTGGCACCAGCCTCAGCGCAGGCACGCGCCATGTAGTTGCCCAAACCACGAGCGCCACTAGGAATTGACATCAGCGATCAAGTTCAATTGTGCAATGATAAGAAGCTCAATTGCAAAGAGAAAAACTTACCCAGTAACAACAATGGTTTTTCCCATGACAGAGAGCTTCTGCATCATAGGAGGCATGGAATCGTAGGTCTTGCGGGTAAGAGGAACGACGTTGTCATTCTCAGGCTCAGGGGTGGGTGTCTCGGTGGGGGGGCGAGAGTCGTGCTCGCGAACAGGAATCGAGAAATGATCCGATTGACCAGTGCCCTTAGCATCAGGGGCGTAGACGGAGACAGGAATCTCCTTCTCACGAACAACATCGCTCTTGAAAGCGGTCGCAGAGACCGAGAAGGGGCGGGCAACCTGGCTGCGAACAACGAGACGGGGAGCGACGCGGGGAGCGAAGCGAGAGAGGCGGAGGGCAGAACGAACGGCGGACATTGTTACTGCTATTCGGATATTGGTATTGGTAAAGATGGGTAGTCTTGTTCGTAGATCAAGGGAGAGGGTATGTTGAAGAGCGAACAAAAGTCTTTTGACCGTTGATGTAGGCGCGAGGATGGGAAGTTTGCGCAAGGGTCAAGCTTCAAAGGGGGGAGAAGCAGGATGAAAACAGAATGAAGGGTGGATGGGGGAAGGCAGGACGCAGAGGTGAGTAGGAGCGGGAGCAAGTTGATATAGGTCCAAGGGGGAGTGAAGACGTGGCCCGTGTATGCTCAGGTAAGGAGGGAAGGAGGAAAGGGACTGTCCGTTGAGACGGTGAGGTCAGCCTGGGAAGGTACAGCTGGTACATGAGGCAGGTATGGGGGCCTGATATGAGGAAGGAACGGGACAGCTACGGTAAGGTCTTGCCAAGCTGGCTGTTTAGGCTACGCTAAGGAGGGGAGGGAAGGTATCCAGGGCCGTCAGCTATCCGTATGTGTACCTTCCCAGCTGCAGTTCCCTAAGAGGACCTTCCTAGTGTCGCAAGTGATAGACGTGGAGAATCTGGGCGTGGCGCGTGGTGACTGCGGAACTGCTCTGCTGCTGGCCCCCCCGAGACCCAATTTAAAAAAAAAAAAATACATTCACCAAGATATTCTAGGCTGTTGGAGCCCCTGTGGGTGTGGGCGCTGAATGGGATTGTTTCGGCCGGTCGGGATGTGATGGGATGAGATGCGTAATGGTAAGATCTGGACACACCCTTTCGGTTTTGCTGTTGCTGCCGTTGCAGGGGTGGCAGTCTTTCTGTTGCATGGGATTGGGGGGCAATCGCATGCACTGCAACACACACCCGTGGGCGGACATAACTGGAAATTCAGCGAGCTAGGGAGCTAGTGTAGAGGCAAGACGGGCAATGTTTTCAATAGGTGCCAGGGTGCGTCAATGTCCATAGTATATGGAAAAGCGTATATGCTAGCAGTGGACATAGCAGAACTATCACAAATTGAATGGTCCTTCCCCAAGCTTAGATACTGTCATTTTCCTCGTAAAAAGCACTGTGAAATACGATACTTAACAGGGCATCTCTTAAGGCTTTATGGCAAGTAGCAGGTTGTAATGGAACCTCTCTACACTACATAGTGTGTATCTACGTGTAGCTTGGAGACCTTCGCACTTCGAATCTGGGCAGATAAGCCCGGGACTCCAGCAGCTGGGAACCTTGGGATGGGCGGCACTAGTGAGGTGGAGTGCAGTACAGCGTCAAGGTGCAGTTGGTGTGGGTGGCGGCTACTCCGTCCGTCCTGTCCGTCAGGGCCCCGGCCTGGGTGCTGCGACGCTAATGCAGAGCCCACCGTAGCGTCAAACCCCCCCAGCAAATCCACCGTACCGTAAAAAAGGGTAGCTATCTAGCGTTTTTTAAGGTACAGATACGCCACATGGCCACGCTGCTTGATGTGCAACTCTGCCAGATTCTGAGCTTAGTTGACGGGTCCCCGGGTCCCAACTTGATGTTGAAAGGAGACCCCTGGTGCTTTCACCAGTGAAGGTTCACGACAGGCGGCGATAGTGACAATAAGTCCGCCTGAGCCCTGCCACGGGGAGTGGGCCGAGTTGGGACGAAGGCTCGCCGCCCTCTTGTTATTCGCCATGGAAGACCAGAAAGAAAAGCTTGAGTTGAGGCGACCTCGCTACGTAAGGAATCCCCAACACCATTGAGGGAGGCGTCTGTCGCAACTGGTGCACCCAAGAACCGTCTTCAGGGGCGTCATGGTGTGAACTGCCGCCTTGATGGAGGGGGACAACAGAATGCTACTCTAGGATATTGCCTGCATGCTCGTTGGCTTGCTTACTTGAGTAGTATGAGGAACTCTCCGACTGGGCTGGGCTAGTGGTGCCCAACATTCAGAAACATGCTTCTGTCTCTTCTTCCAGCCGTCTATCTCAGCATAGCCCGCCCGTTCTTGAGTCGGGCAAGGTTGTCAGGTACTGTGAAGGCGGGCTGGTTTGTCACCTGTTTCTTCTGTGTCTGATTGTGCTTCTGAGAAAACTGTGTCTAGAGTCTGGAACGTTGACTCTGAGAGAAGAACTGACTTCAACAATCAACTCGTGTTAGCGTCAATAGCTGCTAGCAGTCTAGCCGTAACTCTTTGCTTCCCGGACTTTGCAGTAATCTTTAAGCACTGTCCCAATAAAAAGTTGACAATTCAAACGTTCCTTTTGCGTCAAACCTGCTGCAGCTCTACTGACAATGAGCCCACAGCGAACGCTCTTTATGTGGTCGACAGTAACGGGCCCTGAATCTTGGCCAATAAGCCAAAATGATCCGTATTTTCATTTATCTTGCTTCACTCTCACATGGGTTGCTCAGAATAGTTGCCAGACGACCCCCCCAACGGCAGAGAGCTGAAGGCAAATACAAACGGTCAAGTGGCAAATAGCGGCGTGTCGATCCTTTTTCGCATAGTCCCCAGCAAGCTCGCTCTGACAGCCTGGTGGGGTTAATGGGGCGCTATGATGTAGATGATGAACCCTGGGGTTTTCCGCTTCTTCTCCGCTTACGCTTTTCTGGTTGCGCTTTCGAAGCTCAAAGCACAGATCAATCACCCCAACCCGATGAATACTTTTGTGATTTGTTACGCAATGATAACGGAAGCTGACCCAATAGAGGGAACAATTTGAGAGACAATCGCACTGTTTGGATGTTGCGCGTCTCCAAGCAGCAGCACACTAGAATTACTTTCACGACCATTCAATTCATTGATTAATCGAGGGCCCTTGTGTTTGCCATGAAAGGTGGCGCGCGGTGGGCAACAGAGCACAAAAAAAAACCAAAAAACCCACACACATCACGTCTAAAGACGATCTCTTTGCCGGGGTTACCAGTAATGAGGTGGGAGAGATCTCACCATTGGGGCGGCGAGGCTGTCGCATCGAGGCAGGAAACGGTTGGCACACGGCGGTTGGCCCATAGCCAGAACTTATTTCTTCCCCATGTCTTCCAAAAATATGTCGCTCGCGCTCACCGTTGTCTTCCCATATAAGGGGTCTTTTGTCGATGCTCGCGCCACGATGGCCAATATCGTTATTGCCTCTCGACGAGTGCTACGATGCAGATCTAAACCGCGCAACGACCAAATTGCTGGAAGATGCACTATTGTCGATGTATCTGGCGCTGTTGTCCGTTTGTCTGTCTGTCTGTCTAGGATGTTTGCGAACTTGGAAATGTCTTAGATGCGAAGCACTCTCTCCGATTCCGCACACGGGAAAAAGGTCAGGGTTAGGTGAGATGTCTTCCTTTCCCGTGTCAATAACATGAGAAAGGAGAGGACTAAGATGGACGTGAATAAATTAAATAACACTTACGAGATATGGGGAACCCTAGCAAGACGTGCGTAATCTCACTGTCGACAGTCGGGTAACTTCCTGGGTGTCTTGGCAGTGACCGAACTACAATTTGGTACGTTGAGAGCCCTGAAACCGCATATTTTGGCTAGGAAAATCATACGGGACAAGCTGGCTTTCACCCTTAACCACTACTAGTACTTCCATTGCAAGTGGTTTTCACACATTTAGATCTAAGAGCGACTTTAGGATGGTTGAAAGCTTTTTGAGAAGTGACGTCCGCTTCGTACGACTCTTCTCTTGGTTACGAAGATAGCAACTCGGAGCTGTGGGGGAAAATGGTTACACAGGTGTCTAGGCTGTCAGCATATGCGAGTCTTATAAGCAGACCTTGAGGATCAGGTCTAGAACTCGAAGAGAACCTCCTATCACCCTTTGCATCTTTCAGCTAGGTGATAATCAATACGTTTGACGTACGGTGGACTCTCTGAAGGCTGGCTGGTAAGGGGACACGTTGCCATCCGTTAGCTCCAGAAACCGTTTCACCAGGCTAGTTTGCGAAAACATTAATTCTCTTAGCCTGTCGACGACATATCTCATCCAGGCATGCGAAAACGTGGGATGGACAACTGTCTGGTAGTGCTACGCTGCCCCATGTCTCCTCTAGTAGCACCAGCACAGGGGTAGCTGTCTTCTTCTGAGCTACCTGGCCTCTCGAGCCTCTGTTTCCGCCTTCATTCCGTTCGGCCCCTGGCAGCGAACCAGGGAGATTGTAGCAAGGTGGTAGCCAAGAGCGTCGTCCATGAAGTGGGCGTCGAGAAGCTTGTCAATACAATGGATGGCATGCTCTCTTCTTAGGGAGGTCGCTAGGCTGTGCTATCACTAGCGGTCGGGTGGTGGTTGATGGTCCTAAATTTGGTACCAGTGGCCCGTTCCCGTTCTGTGTCTGCAGATATGCCAGCTTGAGCATCCTTAGCGTTGTCGGCATGCGCCGGTAGCAGGGGTTGACAGCAGAAGGTCTCAAACCCCCAGCGTCGGATGGATTGCCATAACGCGGAGGAGTTGGTGGATTTTTTTGGAACTCGATTCCTTGCGTTTTTGTTGCTTCCTAGGACCCTATTTAAAAGGCCAAGTCCTTGGCCAGGAATACCCTTTCTGCAGAACAAGTAACAGTTGTGGCTCTCTTTTGTAAAGGCTACTGCCTTTTAGATGGAATTGCATCTCGAGATGGTAATCTTCGTGTGTGACTGTTTGAGGA